GAATAGGAATTGATTCCGGGGTAACCATATTTCTGGCAGAACAGGCCTAAATACATGAAATTGATTTTATTGAGCCTAGCTAATCATTACTAAGTTCTTACCGCTCTCGCGGCGTAGAGTACAATAATTTAGGGAACCAGGCTGATCTCTCATGCGACACGATCCTAAATTATTGCCAAGACGAGCGAGCTTACGACCCTTAATCGCTACTAATCTCTTAGCGAACGATTAAGTGTGTGTGAATGTGTCCTAGAATAAACTAGATCTCTCTTAATTTATTCAACAAGCAATTGTAATTCTAGCCGCGGTTCCAGGTTACAAAAGATATCAGTTAAATTATTCAAACACAAATTAAACGGCATTCATGCAATTAAACCGACAATAATCTAGTCATCAATCATGATTAACCCCTTCATCAATCTCAAATCCCTAATTAAACTACTCACAATTCATAACTGAAGAATCAACAGAATTGGGATGAATAGAAATAATTGTCATTAATTAAAAAGATAAACTTACAAATAATCTCAGGGTCTTGGAAGAAAATAGCGTAAAAACGATGTTAAATTCGTTTCTATGCCTCTCCGTAATGTTCGTAACGTCAAAATATGCGTATGGGGGTCTTATTTATAGAAAACAAATGAGTTTGGGCTGAACTGGAACTAAAAAGGGGATGAAATCTGCGTTTCGGGGGTACGCACGATCGTGCGTACGTGGCAGTGGCTTTCTTCCGTTTTTGCCTCGGACGCACGATCGTGCGTTCCCCTACGCACGGCGTGCGTCAAACTTCCGAATTTGACAAAACTTCCTTCATGAAAGTTGTAGATAATGAAGTCCTTTATCCACCCCAATTTGCCGAATGTGATTTGAATCATCCAATCAAGAGATATGATCAAAACGGTGGAAAGTGTCATTCTGAAATCGCAGCAGAGATCATCTGACTTTATCGTCTGTTTTCACCTTCTTGCTCTCATATTCTCGTAATGGTGTCTTCATATGATTTGTAGCCCTTGATCACAAGTCCTTCTGATCAATAGCTAATTTATTTGTGTACGCTGTCATTACTTTGAGGATGTTGTGAATACTTTGTCAAACAATTTAGCTTGAGTACAAAGATATAGTTTACGGAAGGATTTTCTTGGTTTAGATTGTCTTTCCTGTGAATATCCCTTTAACTACGTGTGCATGCTAATTGTTTTGATTCTGTGTGGTGATTATCGTAAGTCCCGTTGTTCAGTTTGCTTGAGGACAAGCAAAGGCTTAAGTGTGGGGGAATCTGATAAGTCCGTATTTAGACAAGAATTTGATGCTTGTTGGAATTGGATTTTGATGCTTTTACCAGCTTTAAGGTGTTGCAAGTCTCAATTTTAGCTCAAGTTATGTTTACCGGACGTTGGCTCGAGTTTTGTGTTGTTTGTAGTCAAAATCAGGGAATTTGAGCCCGGCACCGGCACTTGAGGAACAATCGGGATGATTTAAGAAGCATTTGAGAATGATTTGATAGCTTTGGAGGTCACCGGAAGATTCACGATGAAGATTTGAAGGAAAAAGAGCTCTAGGATTGGCTACGGGGTCAAAAGAAGATGAATGAAGCTTGAAAACGACGATCAGGATGACCTTCTGTCAATCGTTCAAGCATATCTCTTTGTAAAAACATCCAATGTACACGATTCAAGTTCCATATGAAAGCTAACTTCAAGGGCTACAAATGATATGAAGACACCTTTCCGAGAATCTGAGAGAAAGAAGGTGAAAACAGACGATGAAGTCAGATGATCTCTGCTGCGATTTCAGAATGATACCTTCCACCGGTTTGATCATATCTCTTGATTTGAAGATTCAAATCACATTCGGCAACTTAGGGTGGATAGAGGACTTCATTATCTACAACTTTCATGAAGGAAGCATTGCCAAATTCGGAAGTTAAGTAGGCACGATCGTGCCCTCAAAGTCAGACACGATCGTGCCTGAAGAGAAAAGCACCGCGGAGTTACTGCCAGCCAGGCACGATCGTGCCTGGAGGGAGGCACGATCGTGCCTGCCCAAAATGCGCGTTTTTGCTCCGGAGGCATGATCGAAGGCACGATCATGCCTGGCATCGTGTCTGGCTCCGAAAATCCTAATTCAGCTCAAATTTCACCCGATTTTTCTATTTAAACAGCCTGTAAACCCCCGTTTTCAAGGGGGAGCTTAGAGAGAGTGCCTAGCATGAATTTTAGAGGGCTTTTCAGCCTTGTTCATCAATCTTTTGGGATTCTTTGTAAGTTCCACCTTTTTAATTAATGACAATTAATACTTTTTATTCCAATTCTATTGATTCTTCAATTATGAATTGTGAGTAGTTTTAATTAGGGATTTGGGATTGATGAAGGGGTTAATCATGATGTATGGCTAGATTCTTTTCGGTTTAATTGCATGAATGCCGTTTAATTTGTGTTTGAATAATTTAATTGATATCTTTTGTAACCTAGAATCGCGACTAGAATTACAATTGCATGTAGAATAAATTAAGAGAGATCTAATTTGTTCTAGGACACATTCACACACACTTAATCGTTGGCTAAGAGATTAGTAGCGATTAAGGGGTCGTAAGCTCGCTCGTCTTGGCAATAATTTAGGATCCTGTCCCCTAAATTTCAGCTAATAATTTAGGATCCTGTCCCCTAGATTAGTCAGTTTGGTTCTTATTCATTAAGTCTAGTTTACTCATACCAAATTTCAGCTAAAAATTCAATCGGGAAGACATTCAAATGAATTCTTGAAGATAACTGCGCTTTTAACTGCACAGTTATCTTCAAGAATTCATTTGAATGTCTTCCCGATTGAATTTTTATCTAAAATTTGGTATGAGTGAACTAGAGTTCATGAATAAGATGCTCAAAATATTTCATCAAAAAATTCCATCGAGAACCGCCCCAAATGGCGACGGCCGGATAGAACCTACTATATAAGGACTTATTTGACCCCTTTTATGCAATTTCGAGGATCAAACTGACCCTTTACTCGTATAAGAATATTTGTTTTTTAGAATAATATTATATTGCTAATTCATACAGATGATGCACATTATATTTGTATTAATGCTACAATATATTAAAATTTATTATCTGTGCAATAATTTTTTTTATTTATTAAGAACTAAATGAATTGGGTAATTTAATGTCAAAAACAATTTATATTTTTGATTCACTTTACATGATCTAAAAACAATTTAGCTAGTGTGTCTGGTATTTACTATCTTTTGATATTTTACAAAATCGAGTACTAATTACCTAATAAAGATAATTAAACATTACAAAACTAGAATTTTTGATATAATATGTCTCATAGGTCTTAAACAATGAGTTATTCTATTGTTTATTTGTTTAAGTAATGGTAAATTATTTTAGATGTTTCTTCTTTTAAATCTCATATTAAGTACTATGTATTATATTATGTAACCTATATTAATTTTGAAAATCAAAAGTTAGGGGGGGGGACACATATATATCTAATTAAAGTATGAAAATTCTATGAAAATTTTACATATATAATAAAAAAATTGAAAGTCCCAGGGGGCGCCCGCCCCCGCGCCCCCCTTAAATGCATCCCTGGATCAATGTGATGCACAATAGAGCTCTTTTGTTGCACATGTTTAAATTTATTCAAATTAGGCCAATATTAAATAACACGGTGACATTTTGGTAAATATTACGAAAACCGAAAAAAGTGCAATAAATAAGTTTCATTGTGTATTAGATTGGAGTAAATGTGGTGTTCTCACGTTAAACATTGTGGGAAAGATGAAAATGTAAAAAAAAAAAAAAAAAAAAAAAAACAGAATGAAAAATACTAATGGAAGGATGAAAATGTGAAAAAAGTACAAAAACTTAAAGATCAGTCTACCAAATTCCCAAAAGACCTGTATACAAAATCAATATATATGGAGTATAGAATAGTAAGGTAAATTATCTATATATACTTATAGAGCTTTTACAATTAATATCACTATAACCTGCTATTAGAGAGCCTATATTGTACAACCGGATGTATGTACATCCGGCCCCAGTAATGAAAACAGCCCAATAATCAGTACATGCCATTTTTTTTTTCGGTGGCATTTTTGTAATTTAAGCGAAAAGTCATGGCTTATGCTAAATGAGCAATATTGTAATTTTGGTGAGCATCTGACCTATTTTAGTGAGTAGTAAGAGGCTAACAATGAGTATAACGATTTTTGCTTCATATCTTCTATTTTTTTCTTTTTCTATTATTTTCTTTTATAAAAATTTATTAAATTATATCTATTATCTACTCCTATTAATTTAAATATGTGATTCTAATGTAATATGATACTTTTAAAATATGCATTGATATGACATTTAAAAAATGAGCATAACATCAGTACCAAATGAACATTCACAACTTACAAAGTGCACATTGATATGAAAATCATAAGGTTTGTTAGTTGAACATCACAACATTTTAACTGAGCATCAAACCTCCGTTATTGAGATGATAATCATGGTTGCTGGTGAATAATGAGCATTAATGAACTTTTAATGAACATCAGAACAATTATGTTGAGTATTAGGAGTCTAATATTAGGAATCACGATCTCTGCTTCATAACTTCTAATTCACTTTCTTTGTATTTATTTTTTTGTAAAAAATATTAAATTATATCTATAATCAATATGTGAATCTAATGTAATATGATACTTTTGAAATATGCATTTATATCACATTTTAAAATGATCAAACATCAATATCAAATGAGCATACTTAACTTACAAAATGAGCATTGATTTTAAAGTCATAAGCTTTGTTAATTGATCATCAAAACATTTTCTTTGAGTACCAACTTCGTTTATTGTGTATTTGAATCACGTATATGGTAGTTATGAAATATGCATTGATATGAAATTTTGAAATGAATATAGCATAAACATACCAAACTTACAAAATTAGTATTGATATGAAAATCATAAACTTTGTTAGATGTACATCAACACATTTTCACTGAGCATCAAATTTTCTCTATTAAGTATTAGAATCATTGTATATGACACTTTTAAGACATGCATCAATGTCACATTTAAAATGAGCAGAACATCAGTACTAATTGAGCATACATAACTACAAAATGAGTATCAAAAATTCAAAAATCATCTTCATTAAATTACAAGTTGAAATTTTTGGGATTCCAATGACTAAAATACGAAGCACAATAAAAAAAGAAACACGAAGCATAACACTTCCTCTTCGATAGAAGCCCACAAGCCCACAACGAATTCTTCAGCGAGAAGATTTCATCCATCGGTGCAGAACTAAAATACGTATCAGAAGACATCTTCCATCTGTGCAGCGAGCAAGCAGCAGTCAAGCATCGATCCGAACTCAGGGAGCGGGCAAAATCGATCGCGTCTGCGTCTCCTTCACCGATCCCAGGGCAGCGAGCAGCTTAACAGAGAACACCGAAAGACCTTTATCATTGACTTTGTAATTGATTGCAAAAATACCCGGTTGTACGGTGAGAACCGTACAACCGGGTGTACGGTTATAATTTACCCTGCTATTATAGAAGATTATGCCTCATCAACTAATTTTTCTGTCCGCCACTGAAAAAGATCATTAAATAGTTTCTTTAAGACTCGGATATACAACCACATCACTCTTATAATTCATCTACCTAACAACGTCCAACGGTGTAATTAAGGCGTTTAGATTTTTGAAGAAACAAGTGCCTGACTACTGAGCCGTCGGTGGACACATATCCTCACATCCTACATGAACTAACCTTTTGCGAGAAAATATGTCTGAGAAAATTCGAACATATAAATATGCTCTAAAACAAAACGTGAGGACATACCTTGCAGGGACCACTATTTTTCCTCATTTTTTTCACTGAAATTTTTCTTTTCGCCACCTCCAAAGCAGCAGCAACATCCAAACCGTAATCTCAAAATAGTTTAGCTCAACTGATACAAATTCACACCATATATATAAAGCATTCGATTTGAAGGAGGGGAACATTATAAATCAAACTTCCACACCAATCCTCTCATTCTAATTTGCCCTCTCTAAAACCAGGTTCCCATCTATCACTTGTGTAGTGTATTTAAATCTTATTTGATTTTTACTGTTTTTCAGTTTTTATAATGTTTCCCTACTTTTTCCAATATTTTCATATTAGTTTTATTTGGTTACTTTTGGATGCTTTATTTTTTCAAAAGATATTTTCACAAATATGTACTCAACCAACTTTTATTTACACTAGAGCAGAACTAATCTACTCCATAGCTAAACACCATTTACACTAGAATCAAGCTATATTTATAGTTCAAGTTAGTGTTCAACTAAATACTATTGTACTATCGTATATGTTAATATGCATTGAATTTGATCAGACATACTGCTTGCGGAAGTAAGAGGGTCTTGTGCTGAAGATGTTGGCATTAGGAGATCCATGACTGGTCACGTATTCACGTTATGTTGTTAGTTGGAAGGCAACTTTATAATTTGTCTTCAACTGAAGCAAACGTTGAGGGGAATATGACTGAAAGGGGCAAAGGGCTAATAAGGCTCAACACTTTAACTTCACAGAGTGCACCTCTTTGTTTTGATCCCCATCCTCTTGATCTATCATCTGCCACTCCTGGAATTCCTACAAAAGATAGGCACGAGGAAATGATTCAGCAATCAACTACTTCTAAATAAAACCATTTAGAAAAGCGATCTTTGTTTTAAAATTTAAATATAACCATTTGAAAAAACACTTTTTGGCCAGTAAAGTGCTAAGAGAGACTTCATTCGACAAATGCAAACAATGATTCATGGGTAGTACCTTCATGCTATAGCTAAATAAATAAACATATTGAATGTAGATAATAATTGGGATTTTTCCTTAAATATTACTCCTGTACTAAATTCAAACCAATTTCTAAAAATGTGACCATTTTTACAAAAGGACAAAATGTCACTAAGAAGGTCACTATCAAATTTTTTGTCACTGCCGAATTTTTATGTCACTATCATATGTCATTAACAGATTTTTATGTCACTAATGAATGTCACTACCGAATTATATGTCACTTTCAGATACACTGCCGCTGTGAAACTTGTCATTGTGATCTTCAGATAATTTTCCGACAACTTTTTCCAGCAAAATAGTGATCTCGGCGTCTGGCCTGTGCCATGCCACACCAGCCCCGACACCACCGACCGCTACTTCTGTCTCCCATAGATCGCCCTGCCCATCCGCACACCCCAGCACTCTAAAACCAGTGACAACCATCCGGCCCACTGATTGGCGGCACCGCCCAGTGCCCAGACCTACGCCCTCTCTGCATCCCTTCCCCGCCAATGTCGGGCCAACACTTCGGCCGGCCACAAACACCGCCTAGTGAAAAACATAACTGAAAGTGACATGAAACACTTCGGCCGGCCACAACCGCCGCCGACCACCGCCCCACCCCGACTCGACTCCCCAGTCCCCTCCCAGCACCAGTCAACCTCCTCTCCATCATTGCCACCCAAACAAGTCTTGCTCCCCCGCCAACAACCTCCACCCCCCTCTAGCCACCTAATCGCTGCCGCACATCAACTCCGATGCAGAGAGGCGACTGTGCAGCGATGCGAGGCTAGGCAGCGGCAATCTGATAGCTGGGGTTGCTCTCATTCCATCGGCATCTGGATACTTACAGATCTTGACGGCAACTATCGAGTTGCTGACGAGAAGAAGAGTGGCAGCGACGGCAAGCAGAGGTGCAGCGGTGGCAGCGACGATGAACGCAAATGGTTGCGGCAAGAGGTGCAGCGGCTGTCAGTGGCTCTCTCTCAAGGCGTCGGCTGCTGCTGCTCTATATTCTTGCATTGGAGGCTCTGGAGCGGAGAAGACGATCGTGAAGACAGAAGGCTGGAAGGCATGAGTGTAGTGTTGGGCCTCTGGATTTTTTTTTAATCACATTTTTTTGTCCCATCACATATTAGTCATATTTTTGTCTATTAAAACTCTAGGACCTATTACGCCATGATTTCATATATTTTTCTGTATTTCGGATATGCACTAGAGCACATTCAAGGTTATATCCTGCATTGAAACCATATATCCTAATTGATTATACATTAACCGCATTCCGATGGATGATTACTTGATAACTGTTCAAGTTTGAAGGACCTATTCTTTTATTTTCAGCAACACATTTTGTCACTGCCTCTTTATGACTAAAGGGGTAAATCAAGTGTATCTATGCATGAGTTTAGAAATGTAGGCCAAATGGTGTTAAGTTACACATTTGCAAATTTTATGGCACTTACCTTACGGAAGAGATGTTTTCAATGATCTGCCAGATTAGCTACACGTTTGCAAATTTTATGTAAACGTTTTTTTCACTTTTATAATGTTATTATAGATATAACATTGCCCCAGCTCAACTGGTCCATGGAAAGATTTTCAACCCACTTTACCCTAGGCGGCTAGGCCCCCCACCCTCCGGGGTAAAAAAGATATAACATTGCCAAATCAAAAGTTCATGGTTAAACTATTTCAACCAAACAGCATCCACCCTTTGAACACCAGATTAGGGGAAAGAAGATTAGTTCACAAAATGCACAACTGTTGCATCTCACATTGGAGTTGTGCTGATAATAGAATTATGCATCTCTTGGATTTATTTCTACATTTCTTTCCAGCATAAAATGCACCCTTAAGCTATCCAGAAAACAAGCTCATGTGCTCTAGCTTGAACTGTATTAATTGCTCATAAAGTAATCACCTTAAATGGAAAAAATTTTGTAGTGAAGGCTTTGCGAAAGAATAAGGCAAGCTGAGACCTAATTCTTTAAGAAATATGAATAAATGTAAAGCTTGTAGGCATGAAGTTAAAATTACCTAGATGGGATTAGTAGATAGCATGACATAGTATAAAGCCTATAAATCCGGTATGCATGTTTCATGAATGATATGACATAAGAAATCAATTGCATTTCAATTTATTACTTCTTTACCAAGAATCCATTGTTGCGTAAAGTACAAAATTTGCACAATGTATGCAAGAGTTGGTCCATGAGTATAATAAACAGATAAAGATCCATTTATCTGCATTCAACTTTGACCATTAAAAGCACAAAATTAGATACAGCCAACTCCCCTAGAGAGTAGGGAGAGACTGGGGTATCTTAAATGGAGTTCCAACACAAAAGACAAAATGGAAGCAGAATACATACATGAATTTCAACTTTAAGCCCCTCCAAATTTTGACCAGCCGCGTCAGCATGACAGTCTCTGTCCAGCCCTTGCAACCATAGCCCCGCATACACCTGTTCCTTTATAACCCAATATGCTCTTGTTCTTGTTCCAAGCAATTTGAAAGTTCTGCCACACATACGAAATTAAAATATCATTGTTCGAACTACGAACTCAATAATATATCACTATGTTTCCCCGTTGAAACAAAACCCACATTTATTAGTTATCTACCCACCCCAAAACAAACAATAGCAGTAACCATCTTTATCCACACATTAATCACATACAAATAAGCTGGGTGAGATAGAAGAGAAACTTCGGCTTACGGGGTTTACCATCCATGGTGTTGAATACTGAGCCACGATAATGACACAACGTCTGAGCAGTGGATTTACTCATTCATCTTCAACATCTCTATAACGCCAACTCTAACACACTTCCTCAGGTTGTGAATGTGGTTTATCTTGCACTACCTCAGCTTGCATATGGTCTAAAATCTAGATTAAAAACAAAAACTAGGCATTGAATCTAATTTGGCTCCAAACTTTCCTTGTAATCTGCAAGTAATACCTGTAATAAGTGCAAAACCTATATAAATATAGTACCTATAAAGTTTGTTTGCGAAGTGGGGAAAATAGGGTCTCGTGCTAAGAGCTATCATCAGAAGATCCGAACTGCATTCTCTGGGAAAACCCTCCACCTGGATGCAGCATGGGGTTCACTGGAACAGGAAATTTATGTCCAGAACTCACCATCGTTCTCTCATTTATCATTCCAACTTCATTACATTCGCGATCGAGAATCACCAGGAAGTCCCTCACCACCATGAAAATTCTAAAGGGGTGTGCCTCTTCTCTGGTTGAATTTCCATGGAAGTATTCAATTATCTCCTTCACTAGAGATATAGCCACACTTTCCTGTGCTCGGATCCTTATAATTTCCTCCTCCGCCATTTTTGCGAACATGCTCAGTGATTCTGAAAACTTAGGAGCGCAACTACTTTTATCCAATAGTAAAAACTCTACAATGTCATCAAACCCTTTCGAAAGCTTTAAGACATCACCGTGGAGGACATCTGAATCCATGATGGCAGCTTTCTTCACATTTTTAAGCTCTGAACTGAGTCTAGAGACAGCCTGGAGGCCAATCCTCTGGTGGAACATGGTATCATCACTGAAGGACATCTTTTCATGTTGGTTTGATGTAGATACACGAGCGCCTTCACTTCCTATTAACTCCTGAACAACAAAATGCAAGAGACTGGTCTTTCCATCAGCCCCCATGACATCAACGAGCTTGAGAAGTGTGTCAAGCTTAAACACGTGTACATCTCTGCAGGCTGTCCCCCCAGTCATCCGGTTCCCAGTCTTCAGAACTGCCTCCAGAAGCTTCAAGAACATCCTGCTGCTCCTCAAATCTTCACAAGCCAACTTGAAAATAGTAAACATCATTTAGTTGGATTCTTGAAACAACACCGCTGCAAGTCTGTAGCATGCACATATTCAATCAAATTATTACCTCAAGAATTTCAAACGACCTTTTGAGATGATTTATCTCAGAGTCGAAATTGGAAATGTAGAGCATTGCTTGTATCCTTTTGAATGCGAAAGGTATGTCGAGCAATGCCTTGAGAAATTTCTCAGCCGGTCCGAGTTTGAATGGTGAGTTGTCTTTATACTCTTTAAGCTTACGCTCCTCCTCTTTAGATGGAACCATTTTCATCAAGGTCTCAAGAAGCTCAGTCCCAAGAGCATCAAGTTTTCCTGGATAAAGGAGCTTCACTGTCACCACTTTGAAGTGATATAGCATAATAATAATCATAATAAACTAATGATAATACTGAAATGCTGAAAACAAAAAAAAACATTCATAAATAGTCTATATTCAATTATCCACTTTATCTTTGATGATCCTAGGTACCAAATGGAAACAATTTATTATGATGCAGATGTTTGACTTGCACAAGAAACAGCATCTACCCATTCAAAATTGAAGAACTGAAATTTCATACCTTCTAAGAGAGCTTTGCATATATCTTCAATAGTGACATTTAGTGCCTTCAACAAAATAAAAATGCTCTGTGACTTCTTCCGGTCAAAGACGCTGTTTTCTTGGCTCAATGAAGGAAGACGTTGGCACTGGTCTGTTTCCTTTAAATTTGATTTTGAATTGGGATCACTTGTGGCAAACAGTGTCTTCATCATCCCCTCATCCACCCTACAATTGATCCAGCTCGATAAGAATTTCCAAACAAAAACATAATTTAAGCAAAGACATACAATTAAATTTGCAATGTAATCAATAAAGTTGACATACAAGTTCCAAAATATCATACTTAAATGAATTTGATTGCAAATGGTCACACACTATTTCCCCATGTGAACTTGCCAGCACTTTATCCCAATGCAAAGGTTTCAACATTGGTTTTGTCTTGTCCTCATTCTTTTCAGAACTTTCAGTTGAACAGAGCCCAACCATCTGTGCATTACTCTCACCAGACTCTGGTTTAAGAGGCAACTGAACTGGAGAAGACAATGTCGGACTCTCGATTTTTATCTGTCTGAAGGAATTGACTAGTTCAGGGGATTCATCCATGCTGGGAGTGTGTGGACTTTCCCACATTTTAATTGAGGGAGGGGGAGGTGGGCGTGTGAGAGCTGGAGTACAAAAAGAAGGTCCTGGTGGAAAAGGGGATGGTGCAGCAGAAATTGGTAGGCTGTGGCCACTCTGTGGGAGTGAAGTGCTGGTTCTTGCATGAGATTCAGTACGGCTAAAGCTAATTCTCTCAGGAGATTCAATTCCTTGGATGTCAAGTCTAAAATGAGAGTCCAACTGAGGTGGAGATTCCACACTGTTGCAGATTCTGAGAGGAGATTTTATACTGCGATCCCAAGTGCAAGAAGTTCCAGGAGATGAATCTATACTTCTTCTAGAATCTCTCTCAGGCGAGGAAGAACTCGCAGGCGAGGGAGAATCAGATTCTCTCGTATACGTCCAATGCGCCACAAAGACTGGAGGTGGATGCTGAGGCGGAGACTGAAGTGGAGAAAGAGCAGTTTGAATAGGAAGGGATTCAGGTGACCTTAGCCTTGAGCAGGATTCAGGCGGGGGAATTCTCAAACAGGCTGGCATCTTTGGAGAGGATGAAGATGAGGAGGATTGTTCAAAAATTTCGACCTCAACCGCTGAGAATGCTCTCCTGGAAGCCGATCCAGTTCCAACGGAGCTCTCTCTATCACCCAACGACCCTTTCGGAGAATAAAACACGTCAGTCTCTTCGTCTGCTTCGGAACCAATCTCGTAGTGTAGCTCAAAGCTCTGCCTGTGAAGCGGCGCTAACGAGCGGAGCTCCGGCGAGCCCGGTTTTAGCGGCCTCACATTTCTAGTGGAGATACTGCTAGGAGTGGTTTGCAGATTGCGCGGTGCGCTTGCTCCGTGTAAATTGGCCACAGTGCCCAAGTAAAGGAGCTCGGAACTGGGTTGACATGGCCTCTGGAGCTTCGGAACGAGCGGGTTACGGCCGCCGCCTATACTATTGCAGTAACTTAATCGAGCACTGCTATCGGATCTGTGTGATTTCCACTCACCGGAAACAGAACGATTCATCTTCTTCCGGAAAAGCAGCACGACGCCAATCGTAATGACAATGACAGTAGCGGACGCGCTAGCGATGGCAGTGCCAATGAGCTTCGAAGACACCGGATTAGTTTCCTGGGCGCGCGGAACGATGATAGAAGATATATTCGCCGGGAAGGACGCCAATGCCTTGGGAGACAGCGGCGACGGAGGTGGAAGCAAACGGTTGGAAGGGAAGAAAGGAGCGTCCCCATAAACGGGGGACGCCGGCGGTGCAGAGACAGGGGGGTCGGAACGTAAGGACTGGAAGGGCTGGTGAAGAATGCGGCGGGTGTGGGCGGTGGAGGATAGACAGTAGACGGAGCAGGACAAGAGAAGCAAGAAGAAGGTGGTTGGAGACATTGTTGGGGTGACTTAGAGCATAGATGAGAAGAGAATAAGGTAAGCTGCTCCGAGCTATAAGATTTACTGAGAAAGAGAAAGGGAGAAAAAGGGGAGATCTACGCAGTCTCCCATGGTGGAGACATAGTGACCAAGACGAGTGAAAAGGTTAGAAACGGTAGGATTGATCTTTTTGTTTTAACTGGGTTACTTTTTTTCCGGGAGGATAGCCCTCCTTCATACTCCTTATTTTTACTCATCACTCCCGGATTTTACAAAATCGGACCGGACCGGCCAAATCGGCAAAGAAACCAGTGAACCGGCCAATAATCTGCTTGGTTACAAATAACCCACAAATACTCCCTCCATCCTATAATTAAATTCTCACTTAGATTTCACACATATTGAGAACATAAATTTACTTGGTGGTAAATTTCACTCTTTTGACATTGTTTCGACACTGTTTGACATTTTTTGCACTGTTTTGCTCTAGTTTGATGTAGAAATTTGCCAAATAAGGAAGTAGGAAGAAGTGGGAAGTTAGTTTTGGGACTGCCAAAAAAGGAAAGTGAGAAGTTAATTTCAGAATGGAGGGAGTATGTTTTTTGGAAGAAGGTGGCTTATATTAAATTAACAGAACGTAAGCAGGATATGAAACAATAAAAAGGTAGGTTTATGAAGTTTGTCTAGGTCTTCAACTGAAGCTGAGTATAGAGCAGCTGCAAATGCAGTTTGTGAAGCTCAATGGTTTAGCAAAATGACATCACAAAATATAGGTTTATTCATATGATGTTGAACAGTAGAATCAACAACAGATTTCAGTTTATTAAAAGGAAAATGACCTAATCTATAATGCCAAACATCAGATTTATTATCTAAGAATTGAGTATTAACAACATTCACAATAGAAGACTGTTTATTTGGAAGAGAAGAACAGCATAACCAATCATTTGGTTGGTGAGAAGATCCTGCAAAGTAACATGATTAGAAGAGAAATGAATAGAGATATTTTCATGTGATACTAAGTTGGAAATGGATATAAGATTAAAACTAAATTGAGGAACATATAAAACATTATGAATAGTAAGATTGTCATTAAGTTTAATGTCACCAATATGAGTGGCAGTAATAAAAGAACCAATAGGTAATTGAACATTAATAGAAATATATTCAGGTGATGAAGTATATAAATTGAAATTATGAGTAATATGATCAGAAGCACCAATGTCAAGAATCCAAATAGAGGGTTGAACATTAGATAAAAAGACATAATGATTACCTAAGAAAGAAGAATCACCAAGAGATTGAGCATGAATAGGAACAACCACAACAACATGAGCAGAAGCAGATTGATCATTTTGAGTCTTCATGAACTCCAGAAATTTATTATAGAGTGAAGGATCATAAAGCTCCATGTCAGTAGAAGAAGACTCAGTAGAGGTATTAGCTAGATTGGCATGAGTATTCTTGACAGAAGTAGGTGGCAATTTGAAGCCAGGAGCAATTCTTAGAAATGATAGAAGATTTCTTCTTATAGTTAGAGTTTTTGACTAGAAAAGTTGTGGAATCAATTGTGGACAGATCAAAATTATTGGAGTTATCATAATGGAAAGGAACGGAGGTCAAAGTTATTAGTTGCAACATTCACTTTTCACGTTTGCCAACGTCCAACTTTGATCATCATTATATTTAATTATGTATTAGTAAAAATAATTAAAAATCATATTATGATACTTTTTAATGAGACGAATTCAACAATATTTTTCAAAAAAATAACTCACATACATTTATAAATAAAATGTAGTCAAAATAGAGTACATGAATAGTGTGTAATTTGCAATGTTGCAACTAATGCGATATGGAGGATATATACTAAATGTAAACGGGTTAGTCTAATATGTACAAAATAGAAATAGGCCCAACAAATAAGAGAAAGCCCAAGTAACTAAGAATATCCAAAGTCCAGTGTTTCAGTTTTGATAGATTAGCTCTCGTACACCGTAGTTGGATTAAACTCCATCACCGGAGCAACCGCAACCCAAGAGACGTGGAAGACCCGAAAAATCACTCAAAAAATTCACATGGATGTGTTTCAATCGTTGGTGTACGCTATGAAATGTTGGGCAGCCTTCAAAGTCACCAACAAACATTGTTTTTTAAAGCTTTCAATATTGAGATTCGAACACGAGACCTAGCCCTTATGGCCCTTGTGTCACCTCCTTTACTATAAAAACAACAAACATGAAATGTTATATAACCTACTGTTTCAACTATTGTAATATCTAATATAATTATGAATATATATATATATATATATATATAGAATTTTATTCATGTCCGGAATTCCGGACAGGAACCGCCGTCCGGACGGTGGCGTTTGGCCGCCTTCCCGGTGACATTTTTTGATGAAAATTTTATGGCATGTTCTCCATCAAGTCTAGTTTATCCACAAAAACATTCAGCCAAAAACTCAATCGGGAAGGTCGTCAAATGATTTTTGCAAGTTAACTCGTCCGGAATATGTATTTTCCGGACCAGTTAACTTGTAAAAATCATTGGACGACCTTTCCGAATGAGTTTTTGGCTGAATTTTTGTGTGGATAAACTAGACTTGATGAAGAACATGTCATAAAAATTTCATCGAAAAATTCCACCCGAAAGGCGGCCAAACGCCGCCGTCCGGACGGCGGTTCCGGTCAGGAATTCCTGACCGGAAGAGTACTATATATATATATATATATATATATATATATATATATATATAATATTGAAATATAAGTTAAAAATGCTTAGATTTTATAATGAGTAGTAATATTTATTTTTGAAAAAAGTGTGTGGTACATTTAAATATTTACTCTAGAAAGAAATCATATCTAGATATTTTATAGATGTAAAAAAATAAATTCCTAATAAAATTATTGTTTCAAATAATATTATTGAATATTGAATATTCGACAATGATTTACTCGTGTGTTAGACGGTCCCTAACTATGGGGGAGTACTAATCGACCTAGTCGGCTAAAAAATCAGCCTCGTACATATGACACCGCACCCGAACGTCCTTGAAACTCAATTTAAAATTCATAAGTTTATGTATTCAATTTCCTATTGTCAAACGATTGTAAAACGATTAATGTTTTATATAAGCATGATCGATCATTTTACCGTTTGAACTCGTATATTAGCGATGTGCTTTCAAATACTTAATTAGGCTATCTTATTAGATATAAGAGCTGAACATTATGTAAATAATAATACATAACCTTTTGATACAAACTAAAGAAGGTCGGGTAGCCCAAGTATTATTTTGGGCCCAATCTGCTAAAAATAATAAGTATTCAAGAAAGGTGTCCTAGGCCCACTCGAGGGTAACCCACATGGCTAGTAGCCCAAGAATATAAATATTAATGTCATAAATAAGTGATGGGATGATTAGAGAAGAATACAAACTTCTATGGTCTCATCTTTGACATTATTGAGCTAAATAATAGGAGTACGATTTTCTTTTATAATTACGCACCGTGTAAATTATTGGGACTATCCTACACATATTAGAGATCAATAATATGATGTAGAGATTTGAGTTGGTCTATATAAATTATTAAATTATAATGAGTACAAAAATACATTTATGACAAAGATAAAATAATAGGACTCATCTTTCCATTTTTGGAAGTATTGGTAGATATTTTGGACCCCAAATTGATTGATATCAATTGGGAAGCATTGCACATGACTTGAGTACTTGCAATTCAAAGAAAAGTAAGTGAGGAGACTTACCTTGTCCGGACAAGATGGAGAGGAGCTGCACAGGACATACTTGGCACCAAATTTGGGCCACCTAGTCTATTTCCGCACAAAATGAGTGTGTTGGTTGTCTCCCTCCATAATTAATGGAGTTATACTCATTCAAATGGGGAGGTTAGGGTGTCCCTAGATAGACCTCGATGTCTAGTTTCATTATTGAGTGGTTGATGTGCAAGAAGAAAGAGTTTTACAGACAATAATCGAAGTTGAGTGAATTGCTGGGTACAAACTCGAGCAGTGAGAGTGTTGGTGTTGTTTGGTTCATATCTCGAGCTATACGCATCCAAACAAGGCGTGTGAGGTGCCTAAAGAAATATATCAAGATAAGGAACCCGTCAAGGTCTGGTTTGCATCAAACGGAGTAGTGGAAGACTTCCATATTGTCCAAACAAAACACAAACGCGCCGGAACGGATTTACTTCTCTAAAGTGAGTTTTAATCCCAAAACCTTTCTTTTCATTTTTCAAATGATATGAACGATTGGTGGAACTATTATACACTATTACAAGTGTATAATATGTTCTTATAAGGTTATTTTATTGATGAAAGGGTTAGATACTAACCTAGAACAAACCTTGGAAAAACTATGAAACAAGTTCGTCGGAAAACACTCATTCTAGGGGTTGTTTTCGTACATTAGGTTAGGATTTGAGCTAGCACCTTGAGGAGGCTGACTAGCACTCATTTTAAGCAAGGAATCATTTCTTAATCCACCTTGGCCGAAGCTTTGACCATTGGATCAATAAGGAAAAGTTTAAAGCTCAATTAAGGTGAGGATCGACATCTAATTGCTTACAACTTGTAGGTTAAGCATGAGGTTACCTAAATGTCTAAATCATATTTTTTTCATGGATTATGATGGTTAAATACTGATAAAATATTGTTATATTTGATAATAAATGAATTTGATAATGACTTGAGGCCATATCGATAATATGAAGTTAAATGAGCTATTAATGAACTATTATGTGAAATAGACATTTTTACTCATGTATGAATTGTGTGGATACATAAATGAATATTTATGTATTCAAATTGAATATTTAAGTTGCTGCTACATACCTCTAAATATGTAGAGAATTACAAAATAAGAATAATTGTATGATAACAATAATTTTAATAGTATTGAAATACTAGTTAGTGATTATTGGAAATTATTGATAGAATTGATCTTAAGGATTGGATTGTATGTGATGCACTTGAATATACTTCAAGTGTGTAAAATGAATTAGTATGAAGCTAAAGTTAAGTCATGGGCAGTCCTTAACGATGACCCAAGGTAGTTTATTGAAATGACAATTCTAGACATAAGTTTGCTTAGGAATTGGGCTTTGGTGTATGGGGATGTAATAGAGCCGAGCTCTATGATGCATGGCGAGGTGGTAGACTTGTAGTCTATTATTTGTATAGCTCGTACATGGGGGTACGAGGTATAGGGGCGGGGTAGGGTTAGGGGTATGAGTACACTTACGAGGTGATCGACCCCACATATTATATTATACATTTGTGTTTATGAATGTTTGTGTGTCTATATATGTTTAGGGTTATTTTGGACATTTTAATGTTAAACGGTGTTTTAAACTTTTTGAAGTAAACATAATCTTAACACATTGCTTAATTTATGCGCCGCTTATTATGCGGGTCTTAATAAGCACCATTTATTAACCCGTGAAGTAAACATGTCCTCAGTCTTCTGGATGATCACAGAACTGGATGAAAAAATTGATGAACATGTTTTCAGATTTGAAAATGGAAAACTAAAAAATAAAAACAGAAAATTGGAGATAGAAAAACTGAAAAATAAAAACAGAAAACCGGAGAACGAAAAACAGAAGTAGAAAACATGAAAATATCTCTGTTAGTAACCAGACCCTTATATTCGGATAGATTCACAGGCATAGCAAATAGTAGTCATATACGATGTACGGAGTATTAAACTATTAAGTATTAACATATGAATTAAGAAGTAAGAGCGCCCACTGACAGATAATAAAGAGTAGCACACTGGCTTTCTATCCCCTACACTTGGTTTGCTTCAAGCCTAAATACAAAAATTGACTTGATTTATTTCCTTCTATTAGTACATACATCAAAACATCTTTTGAAGCAATACAAGTACAACTGTAACCCACTTCAGAAACAAATCCATACTACACCACAACCCTAAAATGAATATCTACAGACTACAAACTATCAACGGAAGAGCAGAAATCGGAACTTCAAGCTGAATAGCATAAATTTAAACATATCTCATTCTCTGGTTCACAACTCCAAAAGCCTTTAAATTAGGATTTGTTAAAGAGGATAAAAGAAGAAACATTTGTCAAACTCAATGTGCTGTAATGAGGGATCATCTTTTCTGTTGTTCATTTCCATATTTTCCAACTGCATTTATCTACTTCAGCATGAATATTCACCTTATCATCAACCTTTCATTTCCCATATACTATTCTGCATGGAAAAGACAATAGAATTGTTAAATATAATTTACAAAAAACAGCCCGTGTTTACTCAAATATGAAATATTACTTTTGAACCCTGTGTTTGTTAATTGCTTTGTACCCTATAGTGCCCTCGTGTTCCAAATAAATATGTATCTACATGATTGCTTGTACTAACTTTATTAAACTACAATGAAGTAAAAAACAAATAAAATTCAATCCAAAGGAATGAACATGCACAAAACTGTATACCTTGGAAACGCTTCATAATAGTAAACTAAGAAGATCCCTTCAAATTCTCAAATAAAAGTCTGAGGGAAAAAAAAGGAAAACATTGGGTGTTGCACGCCGCATTTGTTAGCCTGCTACCTTTATTGCACCCATTTCATCGATCTTTGAGCTCTTGTGCTGCAGTGTGTCAGTTAATAGTCGGACAACATTATTAGCTTCAAATAAAATAAGAGACTGGATAAAGAAATGAAAAAGGGTATGAAGGGTAATATATATTTTGTCTTCAAAAGCATATGATGCAAACCTAGGACACTCATAGGAAATTGGAAAATCAAAGAATTAACTCTTGAACATGTTACCTTACTCTTCTTGTGCCTGTGATCATTGATATCTTCCTCTCCGTCATGCTTCCTTTTCTAGAGTCAACAAAAAAGTTAATAAATCCATTAGTAAATCAAAATTATTGTCAGTCAACATAGTATCCTACCAATGTCAACTCCCAAAAAGTCGAGAGAACGTTCTATATCAAGCAGCATTGAGAAATCACCAGTTCATCATTATGATTCAAGAGTGAGACATCTTTAAGGGTCAATTGGATGGAGGTTAATTTGGGGGCTGGATCCACAATTTCATTAATCGCATCAACAAATTGGAGGGCGGGGTCGCGAATTGGGGTGGGATAACCCCCACACCCATATTTACTTTGCAACAAAGAATGTGAGGGATAAATTGTACAAGGAAGAAAAAAAATTGCAGCATGTAGAGAAAAAACTACCCCTAAGCATTTTTCCAAATGCCAAAATCGCCCTTAAAATCTTAATCGCTTGCAAACCAAAGGACTGCATGTTATTTTATCCGATCCACCCGTCACAAAACTAATTTGCTCATCCCGGTATGCATTTGTGCTAATATGACCATCACAAGTTGGAAACATAAACTTAACTTTACTCTATTACCAGATGACTTAGCTTCTCCAGAATTAAATCATAGGATCAGATTACCACAAGCATCTACAGCATTCTAAACTGAACTGACAAAAAATGTTTTATCAGACCTTTTCACGGTGCTTCTTTGAATGTTCAGCACCAGAATCAAGATGACCATTTTTATCTTTCTTTTTCTCTTTATCCTTATCTTTACTTCGGTCCTTGTGACGATGTTTGTGCTTCTTATGTTCTTTATCCTTTTCCTTGTCTTTGTCCTTGTGCCTTCTATGCTTTTTCTCCTTGTCCTTGGACTCACTCTTAGATTTCCCCACTGTAGTAGGGATGCCTTTTTCAGACTAAAAAGAAAAACAGGTGATAATAGGTCATTCTTCGAGGGTACGCACAAACAACATGATGTAAAAAAAGGTTAACAAAACCGCATCTCGTGTGCACGGACGTCGTTATCTGAGTAAAAACAAAAAAGTGAACATACTTTCCCAAAAACATCACAAACATGCATCAGCAAGTTTCTTACAGTGGGCAGATCAATTGGAGATGTTTCCCTCAACTGAAAAGCTTCCCCCAAAACATCTAAATCAAATGGTTTTATGGATGTGTTCATCTCTCTTGAAACAGAATTCTCAATTAGCTGATTCAATTGCATCCCTTCGCCTTTCCTAATTTCTGTGTCTCCAACCACATTATGCAGATAGTGTGTATCTGAAATTGATAATGGAAGTGGCCTCTTGCAGAAATACTCATGATGAGGTAACAATCTGAAGCGGCTAATAAGATCAACAGCACCTGTAAGTTCTCTGGGGCCTGATATTTTAATGGAACCAAGCTCACTTCAGGTATCAAACTTATGTCTCTAAAATGCAGATCATGACATGGTAACAGAAGACAGACAGAATAGCCTGATTACAAAGAATATCCCAGTGAAGCTCCAATTAAAAAGAAGAAGTGGATTTACTTCAAAATTCAGTTACACACGAGGCCCACAACATTAATTCATTTCAGAATGACAGCAAAACTATAAAAACAGAAAAGCGAAAAATCCTTGTGGTCCGAAAACACTCATTTCATGTTCTCATGACATGGTAAAAGCTATTAAAAGACATACTCCCTCGTAGTCTGTACCACTATTTCTGTCCCACTTATCCTCTTTCATATGTCTCACTAAGTTTGTCTCATACCATATTTGTATAATATTTGTGTGGTATAAATTCATTCTTAACTTATCCACACTAACCAATTCCATAACAACCACATAACTCTACTTTTCTTAATAAACGTACCACCACCTCTTGTCTCAACCTTTGTATAAACAACTTACCTCTTCCAAACTTTTTGTTTTCTGAATCCATCAACTTGCTTCAAGTAATGATTTGCTAGTCACAAACTTTAGTAGTTGATTCTAATTCACCAATGATATTGCTCTCAGATTGAAGTGGAAGCCTGAATGAACACACCACCACCTGACATTTAAGTATATAAAACAAATGTTTAAATTAACAAGCGGTACAGTTCAAGACAAAGTAACTTAATAGCTATAAGAGATTCCATTATCCTTTAGGGGCACACAAAATAAACTTCTGAGGATTTATCAGGCGGTTGTGAGCAGAAACTCCACAAGTACAATAAGTACTAGTAGCATGTTATGCTACAAAAAGGTTGTAAAGCATGTATGCATAATTTGCAAATATAACAGGCTCTAAAATGCAATTTCCGAGCTTGAATAGGTCAACCAACCAAACGATCTAGAGTACTTCAATTAAATAAACTCTAATCCCGTCAAAAAAGTTCTAGAAGAAGCCATGTCCACTACCAAATCACAGATATTTCCGATCATCCAACCTTCCTCACAAATTTAGAGGCCCGCCAATGCTTAATCTCAAAACTCAAGAGTACTTCCAAGCAGAAGATAGAAATACGTCGATGTTTAAATTACTAATGAGTAACGAGCATACTGGATTGCAGTTAGAGATCCAAAGGAGAAACGCCGAATCCCTCTCGCTCTGTGTCCCTTCGCCCCAATCGAAACAGCAAGAAAACGAATTGAGGAGCTTCTGGGTTCGTCTGCGATTGCGAAATTCTATTGCGCTGGGAATAAACCCTAATCCTCGCGTTCCGGAGAGAGTTCAAAGCCTTTGCGCTCCGACCAGAGAGAAACGACGAAGAAAAGGGTCCGCAACAAAACAACCTCCCGTTTATTCCTTTAATTTTTCAGATGATGTATAATAGGTATCATGGGGTCTTGAGTCTCTCATTCATTCACTCATTGGTTGACTTTTTATTTTTGCTTCGAATTGCCCCTTCCGTTTAATGGTGTTTTCAGCCATCAATGGTCTTGAGCCATTAAGGAAGTGTTTGCAATTGCTTCAACTTTAAAAACGTGATTTTTTAAAGTGATTTAGGGAAAAGTGATTAATAGTAAAAGTTGGTAGTGTTTGAGGAAAAAGTGATTCTGAAAAAGTAAAAGTTGGTAGTGTTTAGTAAAATAAGTACTTTTTGTGTAATAGAAAAAGTGAAAAGCAGTTTAAAGCACCCTTCCACCTGCTTCCAGCTTTTAGCTTTTAAGTGATTAATTTAAGCAGAAAATGTCATTTGAAAACACTCTTTTAAACTTTTTTTAAGCCAAAAGCTGAAAAGTGCTTTTTTAATCAACTGCAAACACTCCTTAAGCAATTTTAACATGGGACAATTCCTAATGTTGGACGAAATGTACTACTATTTCATTCCATTTTATAATGTTTTTACTTGGATGATAATTTGTCTCATACCAGATCAGAACAGAACAGATCAAAACAAAACAAATCATACCAGATTTGGATAGTTATAAAAATGCAAGGAAACCAGACCAGTTCAAATCAGATCAGACCAGCAAATTACAGTCCAAGTAAATAAATCCTTATATCACAGAGGAAAGTTTACTAACAAGTAACACCACCAAGGATAGCTCAAGGTGACAAAGTGAAACCGTTGGATTGCGATTTCAGGTTCGAATTTAGAACGTAATCGTGTCGGTGATTCATAAATTATTCCTACGTCATTTTATTGGACAGAATGTGGGACGCATGGGTGGGCGAATCCACATTTTTTAGTCTAACATTGAATAAGGATAGCAAGACATGTTTTGTTACATTTCTTTCATTTACATTTCTCTAATGTTGAAAAGTTATCTATTTTTTCAACATTTCATGAATGCCTAAATTGTCGGATGATGCTATGCGGGGTCGATGCTTATCAGTCAACTTTTATACGGATCAAATACATTTTGAGCCCGTTTGGAGAACTCTGTTTTCCGCTTATCAGGCTTATCAGCCAGCTTTTTCACCAAACACGTAACTTTTACTTTCGCGCGCTGAATTGTGTAATAAGCCGAAAAAGTAAGGTTGGAGTTACTTTTCTGGCTGTATTGGCTGAAGTTACTGTAGAGGACCATTTTAGCTATTTTTACATATAATTTTTTCTTTAATTTATTAATAAAATATATTTTTAAAATATTTTTTTCTTAAATCAGCAGAATCAGCCAAAACAGCCACTCCAGCCAGAATATCATAAATTTCAGCAGAATCAGCCAAAACAGCCGATTTTGGTGCTACCAAACGGGCTCTTTGATTTTGTGTGCTCTATTGTACTCCGTATAATAATCATAATAAATAATGTTACTTATGTCAATTTTCCAGCAACTGAGGAAATAGTAAAAAAGTGAATATATAAAAAGTTTAGAATTTGTTTGCGAGCTCCAATGAAGTGGAAGAGAGCAATGCTGATACACAGCCACGCTATGAATTGAAGTATTTTGTCACACTCATGTTAGCACAACTCTTTCTTTGCCTATCAAATTTGAAGAAACTTTAATTGTGGTCGACAACTTGACATCTCATTTGCAATCATTTTCCTTCTTTGGATAACATTCAGACACTCCAGCATATTCTATGTATTTGAGCACATGCATATGAATCCAGGTCAATTTGATAGCATCTACACTAAAACAGGAAGACAAATAAACATGTGCTTCTACAAGCTAAGTCTAGAACAGGCATTAATTTTCATGCATAGTTTTCAGCAATCAATGTTCAAAAGAACTCAAACAAGTTTGATGACAGCGTATATAAACATCCTCAAAAATCAAAATCAAGAACATTGCAAGTAGTCATGTAGATTGGAACTAACTAGTTTAAGTTATGGTGTAAAGGCGCTGTTTTAACAATTAAAAAGCTAAAAAAAACAAAAGTAAGAAAAAAAAACTAAAAAGCTACGTCGTTCAAAGTTTGTGTTGGAACTAAAAAGCTATTTTTTCTCTTCAAAAAATCTATGTCAATCCTTTCATTTTTCATAGTGCCATCTGATCAGCCATAACGGTTTATCCATCTGGTTAGGCTGACGGTGAATCCATCTGGTCTACCGGAAGCATTGGCTGAGCAGGGCCGTCTTTTAGGAGGTGCAATAGGTGTTTAGCATCGGAGCCCACTCTTGTAGGGGGCCTCCATAAATTTAGTATGAAATATTAGTGACATGTTGATTTTTCAATATTAGTATAAATTTAGTATGAAATATTGTTCAATATTTAAAGTATTAAGTACGTAGTATATGTTATTAATACAGACCACCAAGTATATGTTATTAGTATAAATTTAGTATGAAATATTGTTCAATATTTCTAAACATATTACGAGTATAACTTTTAAATTGTTTAATTTGTGTACTTTAAAAATCAATAAACGTACTTTGTATGTATCATTGAACTATCCAATCTATTTTTATTTCATTGTTAAATTTTGTACTTTTTCTTGTTTTAGGGGGCCTCAATTCATCATTTGGAACCGGGACCTCCAAATTCATTAGATGGCCCTGACTGTGAGAGATCAAATTATAATTATGTTGGAAAATGTGCTAGTAAATTGCATTAAATGGTCATTTTGGGGAAATTTTTTGAGTGGGGTCCACTTCCGATTTGGGTCAGGTCAAAGTGGTTTCGGATTGTCCTTGCTTAGGGCTACAATTCGATATATGATACGCTCAAAACGGATAACGGGTGAATGAGAAATTGATTCTTGAAGTTCACTCGTTGGAATGGAAAAAACTAGGAAAATGATGGGTTTCTAGTGTGGTTTTCCCACACCGGAAAACCCAAGGGAATTTGAACCCTTTATAAAGGGAAGCCCTCCTTAAGTAGTTAAGATTCCTTAGGGTAAAGGCGCTCTCCACGCGCGCAGGGGGGGTGCGAATCAAATCCCGAAACCGGAGAACAAAAAGCCCGACTTGTGTGCGCGGGCGACCTGCGGAAACGAATGTCGTCCGAAAAATCTATCTTCTACAGATAAATGTTAATTTTTGTTCCTCCGGTTGGTTCCTATTTTTCACTCCAGGTTGGAGTGGAGCAGGCCACTACTCCGTGCGAGCAGTTCGCTCCGCAGCAAGCCGCTGCTCCATGCATGTTGAAAGTCCACAGCAGGCGGCTGTTGGGACGTTACAACGCCATAAATGCCCGACGTACCTTTGCAATAAATGGACGGTTTTTGGACGAGAATCAATGCCAACGTGTTGGACATTGATTACCAACGTTCATGTCCATTAAACCTCCATTAACATACAACAAATCTTCCCTATAAGTAGCTGGCAGGTGATTTGCAACAAACACAACTTCATACACACTTCCTTCACGTATTTCTGAGCTAAAAAACACCTTTAGCATTCCAGAAAATTTCCTTTGTGTTCAGCCTTTGTTCACGTTCGTTGGAACTTTAGTTTGAGTGCTAAACTATTGTTCGAAGTCATCGTATCCTGGGAAACGATCGTTGCAACGCTCCTAGCACCCCGGGAGGCAACGAATACGTTTTAAGGAAATCATGCGTAGAACGAGCTTTGGCTTATTCTGCTTCATCTCATTTCTTGTTTTTCTTTAAGTCATTTTATTTAATTAATTTTTATTAATTAATTTTCTTTGTTTTTCGAAACACACCCAACAATCTTCAAACGTATTCGTTGATTGTTCTACTACGGTAAACAATATTAAACCGCCATCACCGCTTGAACCGCCATCACCGCCTGAACCGCCATCACCACCTGAATCGCCATCACCGCTGCCTGAATCGCAGCGGCTGTCACCTGAAATACCGGCTGCATCTAGGAGGCGTGTGACTCTGTAGTTAATATGCTCCAGCATTTGAATCATCTTCTCCATCTGCTTTTGATTATCAGCGATCTTGGCCGGAACCAGTTTTTCAATAAGCCCCTTCAGGGTGTCATCCAGGCCGAATCTGTACACTGAGTATATAATCCCTGACATAGATACTCCGGTGCTGGTATGGCCGGTCAAAACACCAATTTTACTCGAGAAATCCCAAAGGGCAGAATTCTGCCCCTCTCTTTTCAGGAGAGAGGCGACAATAACCTTTGTAGATGGGTGGAGGTGGATCTCAACAATGCTTTTGGGAACAGAATCATTATAAATGATTTTGAATTCTTTGACATGGTGCTGCAGGGAGTTTAACAACCTGAAGCCAGAGGCTGCACTATATCTAGATGACATCTGTATGTTCAAAAAAAAAAAAGAAAAAAAAACTCATGACACCCATCAACGACCAATGAAGAGTATGGCTGTAACATATACTAGTTTTCCACCCGTGCGTTGCACGGGGTGTAAGATACAAATATTATAAATCTAAAAAAAATCATTTTACCTCTAAATCAAATTAAAGATTGTATTATATTTTATCACGGGAATGAGAGTAAACATTATTAAATACATAATAAAAAATATTTGAAGTTTAATAAGCATACAATTTTACAAATTATTGAAGACTTCTTTGTAGACAACATTTTTTGCGGTCTTTTTTCGATTTCCCTCGTCGTCACATATCACGAACTTCAATCCAGACGGACTCGTCACCCTCGAAACTGCAACATATAACTGGCCATGTGTAAAAACTGGGCGTCGTAGAAAAACGCCCACATTCTCTAATGATTGTCCTTGGCTCTTGTTCATCGTCATTGCATAGCTAACCATCAAGGGGAATTGCCGACGCATGAATGTGAAAGGTAGCCTCACATCTGTCGGGGTTAGACTAATCCTTGGGATAAGGAATTTCTCACCTGCATTAGTTCCAGACATCATCTGTGCTTCAATAATATGTTCACCTAGTTTTGTCACTAAAAGTCGGGTACCATTACACAAGCCGGCCGAATGGTCTATATTCCTCATGAGCATCACCGGTACACCAACTTTTAGCTTCAACTCGTGACTTGGAACACCAGAACATTTTATGCCGTTAAGGAATTCGGGAGAATGAATCTCCTGAAGGAGCTCATTGTCTGAGGTTGAGGAACACGCTGAATCTGAACTGAAATATGTCTTTTCCTCTGAGCTGTTCTGCAACAACATGAAATCATTGACCTTGTCTACCTCATCAATTGTCGGTGCAAGAATTGCTCTCCCTTCAAGATATGAGATGTTGTTCATGTTCTTCAAAAAATCTGGATAAGTGGCGTTGACAATGGATTCAATGGGATCAGACATTACTGGAACATGAAAATTTTCCGGTATATCAATTTCTGCTTCTCCATCAACGCTCCCTCCCAGAACACCATCACCAATTTGTAGTATCCAATCGGCAAAAAGCTTCAAAATACTTGGATTGGCCGTTTCATTTGTGAAGTTCTTGAGTCTCATGTTTTTTGTTAACTTCAACACCGTGCAATACTGCCACAGATGTGATGCATTCAAAGATGCAAGAACAATATCCTGTCTTGTGCCTTTAGGAATGACAGGCAACACTTGTCTAAAGTCTCCACCGAAAACAATCGTTTTTCCACCAAAAGGCAATTTTGGATTGCCATCATGAGAGCAAGAAAGTATGTCTCTCATACTTCTATCTAGAGCTTCAAAGCAATGCCTATTAAAATTTATATAAAAAGGTAACAATAATACATTAGATTTATAGTATAAAGACCCATTTAAATGCATCAATTATGATGATTAAATATAATCTCTTAAAATGTGTAGTTAGTTCAAAAATGTTAATTTTTTTTAAACATATTTAAAAAAAAGAATAAAAGTTACAACTAAATTATAAACCTTGAATATAAGTTAACATGACTAAAATTACTATTGCAACCTTTTTTACAGCATTTTTTTAAATCACAAATATTTAATTATTCTTGACCTTTTTTGGCGCAATTTGTGTACCTTTATGAATGAAAATTTAAAAGTTTAGTAATTAATATCAATAATTAGAACAATAAGATAATGTAGACTAAATATTAATACTAATAATTGTATTCATAATAATAGTTTAAAACGCAGTTCATATGTTGATGATGATAAAAAACAATATAATAATCAAACTAATTTTATTACGTATAATAAAATAAATATTACTATTATTTTTTGTTTTAATACAATTATATTGTAATTTAATAGAACAGATAATAATTAAATTCATTGTGGGCAAATCATACCTGTGTATCATAGGGGCCTCATCCCAAATAATCAACTTGGCCATTTGAATCAATTTAGCCAATGGACTACCACGCTTTATATTGCAGGTTGAGTCTTCAGTATCATTGATTGGAATAGCAAACCTTGAGTGCGCAGTACGTCCTCCAGGAAGAAGAAGTGATGCAATCCCACTCGATGCAACGTTCAACACTATTTGACCTTGTGATCTTATTGCTGCTGATAAAGTCTTCCATACATATGTTTTTCCTGTGCCACCGTGACCATACAAAAAGAAGACACCTCCATTCGTCTTGTCAACAGATTCCATGATTTTATCGTAGACACTTCGTTGCTCTTCATTCATGTTTTTCAATAATTTTGCATGTGTCTCGGCCATGACAGATTTGTCATACTTCAACTCTTCATGAATTATGGTGTCTTCAATGGAAGGAATATCATATTCAGGTGGCATTGGCATTCCCACAAAATCTCGTAGTGATCTGCACCTTTTCCTTAACAACTTCTCAATCTCGATCAAGCAATATTTGTTCACCTCTTCTGTGCTCAATTGGTACTCTACATACATATAATTTAGTATTTATATTTGTAATATGGTAAAAGCTCACGCACGGAAACTCAGTTAGAATTGAATCAATTAATTCAAGTGTGGATTGCTTTGATCTAGGTCATATTATTTCTCATTGTAATAAATGTTTTAAATCATTTAAATATTTAGTTAAAAATCCATTATCATTTAAGAAATAAAAATACATATTCCATTTTAGTTAATGCATTTTAATGCATCAAAGTAAAATATTATAACAATAAAATATTGATTAATAATATGTCAAGATTTTTCTTTGTAATAGACTAAAATCATATTATAAGAATAAAATATTAATTAGAATTTGTATACATATTTTTATTACAAATATTTGTAATATGATAAAAACTCATGCACGAAACATGGTCAAAATTGAACAGTTAGTTTAGTAACATACCAGGGTCATTGAGGTTCCTTCTAATGTTGTAGAGTATGTCCTCTGAAAAGTATTGCGAGCACTTCTCCCATACCAATTGTGGCTTTGACAACACATCCGACAATAAAAGAGTAACAAACAAATTACGGAGTGCATATGCGGATGCCCAATGACTTGCCTCAGTAATCCCATCTATATATTCCTTATCATCCTTTAGCAACCCACGGGCATAGCAAGCATCCCTAAAGCTGGGAAATAATGTCCCGTTATAAGTGCGCAACTCTTCAAAGGATGTAGCACCTTTAACAACATTCAGTAGCGTCCTCAAATAGAATTTTTCCCCTGCCCCAGGACGAACAAAATACACACGACCAATTGAGAATCCCCTTTTCCTTGGCACCCACTCCTTGGTTTTTTGTTTCCAAGTAAACTTCGTTGGAAATTCAACGTATGTCAACTCTCGTGCCTCTGGATATTTTTCATTTGCCTTCATCCAAGCCAAGAATTTTGTATCTTGAACTGTGCCTTTTCCAACAACAGATTCCATCGGCTCATCCGGGTGATAGTATACTGGTTGCTCGTCTGGCAAATGAAAATTGAGACGTTCCACCGGCACATCCCTGTAATGGATAGGATACCCAAATATTCTCCATGCAGCCTCACATGCTGAGATGTAGCGACAATCGTAGTACATTTTAATCTCATCAACTTGTTGTTGTTTGGAGTTATCCACTGCTTCAGAAAATTCTACTGTGATACTTGTTGTTGTACTTGAAAAGATACTTGACCGACCTTGTTTGGTTACACCATTCAACATTTATGTGTGCACCATACTTCAGCAGCAATGTACGATTATGCGCGACCACGTGTCTATTGTCAAGATCCACATCACCCTTGGTAACACGTCTCCCATCATTGCGTCGTCTATAAACTGGATAACCATCCCCATCAATGGTTGTTTGTTCAACAAAACGTTTCGGAAAGTGCTTTGTGCAAACGTTTTTGTCCATGCATGGCGCTGACTTGTTTGCTGGACCACAAGGACCGTGCATCATAAGTTCTTTTACCGCGTTATAATATTCCGGGTCAGACCTTTCATCAGGTATCTCCGCTGATATAATCTTGTCAATCTCTGAGGGTGATATTCTCTTGCCTTTCTGAGTAACCCATAAGACTATATGGGCATGAGGCAAACCACGCTTTTGAAACTCAATAGTGTAGATAACTGCAGGGAAAAAATGTTTGTTACATTTCAATTATAAATGAAACATACCAACTATTGACATGTATATTTTTTATCTTGTAGTCTGAATATATAAACTACTATAACACATGCCTTGAAAAGAATTAAATGTTGAGATACATAAAAAGAATGTGACAAAATAAAACAACACATTTATATGCTAATTTTTTTTATTTTCAGCGTATTTAAAAATACTCTTAAAATGTAATTTAAATCAAATTGACAAATGTAATATCAAAATTATTAAAAGAAACACATGTTACATTTAAAAGTTGAGTTAGTTGCAATAGATGGAAAATGGTAATCTGTAAGATGTTGTAAATGTTACAATTATTACCTGCTTTGACGTCACCAAATATTTTATTGTGCTTCAAATCTTTTATTAGGAGGTCCAGCTTCATTTTAAATATCCTACAAAGGATGTCTGGCCTGTCTTCTGGATTCAAACCTCTGTCAATAACGAAGCGCACAATCTCTGGCCACTTAGGGTCACATGTGAATGTTATGAACAACTGCGGATATCCTGCCCATCTACAAATGGCCATCGCGTCTTGATAATTTTGCATCATATAACGTGCACTCCCTGTGAAAGAATTCGGTAGCACAATGAGTTGGCCCACCCTTGATGCATTAGTCTCACCCCGACCTACTGCATCAGCCAAGCCACTATATAAGTCACTTCTCAACTCCTTCTGATGCTGACGAATATATCGCAATCGAGAGGATTCTATCATTGTATAGCCATCCACCAGAAATTGTTGAAATAAGCGCTTCGCTCGTAGTATGTATGATGATTCATTCTTTCGATCTTGCACTCGATATGAAAAGAACTCTTTTTGAGTAACATGATTCCTTCCTTGCTCCGTCTCATCATTCACGCGGGTCAATCTGACATCCTCTCTGAATCCATCCTGGCCGTACGGAAATAATAATGGATATTGCAACCCTAGAAATGAAGGGTTTAACTCCGTCATGAACTGAAAAGCTCCACCCTTTGTTTGAACGACAACATCTCGCTCTGCTTTGTTCACGTGGAAGTCTCCCTCAATAAGTGCTGCCACTTCTGAAACAGTGGGAGTGTTATACGTCCGCCCTTCTGACTTTCTTTTCCCTATTAGCCTCATTTTCAATGTTGTGGAGTTAGATTCATTGAACCTATCTCTTGCCATCCGGAAAGATTTGGCATGGACGTTGTGTGTATCAAGCATATCTCTCAGATCGCGTACCAGTGTATCATCCAATGTTTTGCCACTCTCTTTCCTGTGAAGCAAATAGTGTAATCAAATATTTGAATGCAATTAATATTGCATTGTACCGCCCAATATTATTAATAAAAAAAAGTTAAATTGCATTAATTAATATTGTAGTTATCTCATGTTACTATTTAAATAATACACTATTTTTACATATATTTATAAAGTATTGTTATATGTGCATGTAAAGTATTTTAAGTCATATTTTTCTAAGTATTTTTTTATTAGTAAAGTAAATAAATAGTACCTCTAATTTTAATTCATATTTTTCTATTTTCACAATGTTGTACTTTAGCTATATTTTTTTTGTACTTTAGCTATATATTTTATTTAGCTATATATTTTTTTGGCACTTTAGCTATATATTTTTAATAGCACCTCTAATTTTAATTCATATTTTCCTATTTTCACAATGTAGTACTTTAGCTATATATATTTTTTGTACTTTAGCTATATATTTTATAAATTTCGATATTTATACTCGATTACATGTACATATTTACTACTTCGAGAATGTATATATTTACTAACCTCACGGCTGAGATTCGCTGCGAAATTTCTTCAGATGGATCTGATAAATACATTTGTAAGAACTTTGGCCTTTTGCCATCATTTGGAAGGAGACTTCCAATTCTGTGATAGTTTTGACCATTCAAACGGAATATAGGCGGATTTTTCCCTTGATTTATTTCATGATCTACTTTTCCGCCCATCGATGTGAATGAAAACATTGAGTTGTATGATCTGATATTTTCAAGAAAGTGTTTACCCCCGCTTGTCTTTGCCAAATATCAAATCTTCCAAAAGTTTTGGCGGTTGTTGCATTTTTGGGAGCACGACATTCCCTTGATTGCAACACAATGTGAACTTTGGCCTCTCTTTGGCTGACACTCTTTTCACTCTCTCCTCATGCCAAAAAAATGCTCCACAATATTCACATTCATATATAGCATCACCAAGATCGGTGTAACCTGAAAAATTGATTTAAGAAATGTAATATAGGAATGTATTATATTTTTAGTAAGTATTTTGAAATATGGCTTGGTCAATGAGGATAAATGAAAATAATATAATGTCAATGATACCTTCATTTGAAGATGTTGCATTATCAGCATGTTCATCTAAAGCATCATTTGTTAAAAACTTCATTAATATTTAATGTAAAGAAGTAATGTACAATAAAGTGTATGCTATTATGGTTCAATTTTGAATGCATCATTATAGTTTGAGCATTCATACGTACCTACAAATGGCATTTCATCAAAGTTGTGAAATTCATCTTCACATTGAGGAAGGTCACAATCTGCATGTAATTCATTATAAATTTACTTATTATTTCCCTAAAATATTACATGTATAAAAGTTAATAAATATTAACTTGGGATACCCGGCTGAGGATTTGGATCAACTTTGTTCCCATCTAACCCTTCATCAATTATACGTCTGTTGCCACGACGAAGAGGAACAATCGGGACATCATGGTGTTGAGTGTCACTTGACTTAGGAATACTTCCAACAGGATTCCGATTTGTATAAATTCCCGGACGATCTATAGTGAGTAAACAATTACAGTTACATATGGAGTAAAAAATTATAATTAAAAAACGTAAATCAAATCTATATTCATAAATTTTATGTTGGGATACCTAGCTGAGAATTGGGATGACTTGTGTTCCCATATAACCCTTCATCAATCATACGCCTATTGCCACGCCGAAGAGGACCAATCGGGACAGCATGGTGTTGGGTGTCACTTGACGTAAAAATACTTTCAACAGGAATCCCATGTGCATAAGTTCCAGGACGATCTATAGTGAGTAAAAAATTACAGTTACACATGGAGTAAAAATTTAAAATTAAATAACGCATATCAAATATATATTTTAATAAATTTTAACTTGTAATACCTGGGTGAGGATTGGGATAACTTGTGTTCCCATCTAACCCTTCACCAATTATGCGCCTATTGCCACGCCGAAGAGGAACAATCGGGACAGCATGGTGTTGGGTGTCACTTGACGTAAAAATACTTTCAACAGGATTCCTCTTTGTATAAATTTCAGGGCGATCTAAACAATTACAATTGGATATGAAGTAAAAAAAAATTAAAACTAAATAACTAATATCAAATATTCTTTCATAAATTTTAACTTGGGATACCTGGCTGAGGATTGGGATGACTTGTGTTCCCATGTAACCCTTCATCTATGATACGTCTGTTGCGACGACGAAGAGGAACAATCGGGACACCATGTTGTTCGGTGTCACTTGACGTAAAAATACTTTCAAGAGGATTACGGATTGTATAAATTCCAGGACAATCTGTAGTGAATAAACAATTAGAATTACATATGGATTGGAGAATTAAAACTAAATAACGAATATCAAATATTGTTGCTGATGTTACAATCATAATAATTTAAATAAATGACAATTCTTACTGTGAGGTGCCTGATCGTTGTCATTATCCTCGAGAGTTGGTGTCTGGTCTGATTGTGTTCGCTTGCCCAATATAGTAGTAGATTTGGTAATTCTCTTCATCTACACCACCTTTTAAATTTAAAACAGAGAAATTAAATTGAACAAATTAGACATATAAAAAAATATGGTGTAGTACATGATATTTTAAAAGAGATGTACACATGTGTAGAAGTCTTCTAATAAGAGGAGTTATCTTAACATTCATCTATATGTATAAAATATTTTCAATTCTATAATGTGCATTGAAATTTTTTAATGTTATTTGAAGAAAGCGATGGGCAAATATAAGTAACTATTGAGATAATGTATCAAATTTGTATTTTCCTCATATTCACTTTCTACATATATTGATATTAATTTTTTACTTTATTCATTTGACTTTTTATTTTCATTTGTAATGATTATGTTCGATACTTTTTGTTAGTTATTAAATCATTTAATAATCATAGAAAATAAATGAAATAGTAATTCATCTTAAAACAGTAAACAATCCATAATCATCTAATAAATAGAAAATAATAATTGGAATTTACATGGTAAATTACGGTATTTACATATATAAATAAATAAAGGACTGTCACTAAATTATAAGATCAGTAGTTTATTTGCTTATATATAGTAATTTTCCTCTACATAAATTCTCAATAATAAATAGAGAAGATGTTATTGACTCTAAAATATATTGGTTTCCTATATATATGTATTCCATAATAATTCGTTCCTTCTAATCCCATCTATAAAAATATGTCAAGAATGTCTTCTAAAATCCTACTACGTATTATAAAAATATGTCAAGAATGTTTATCTTAATAGCCTCTTTTAAAAAAAAAATTGTACAAATGACATTGCACAGTTACACCGGTATAATAGCAACAAAAATGTTAACATTAATCATAGCCTGGAAAGAACGTAAGAAAAGGACTTGAAGTCTTCTTGTCTCAAAATTTTGATTTTTTTACAATAAAATGTAAGGAAATAAAAAGGATGTTGGTGTGGTGGTTAATTACTTTCTTCATTCAAATAGGATAGGATTTCTTCCGAAATCCATAATATGAATTGATAACACATAACATGAATTATAGCCTAAAATCCTACTACGCATTATAATACACAACATGAATTGATAACTATATACTACGTATATCATTTATCAAATCAAAATAAACCATCCATAATCATGTAAAAATTAACGTACCCTAACTAATTGAGTGCAAAAAATCGATGTTAAAAATAAAAGATGTAGAACATACCTGGCACCGCATTTGTATGAAGTCATGTATGAAGAGAATTAGGTTGTATGTTGGAATGAACTTGGTAGAGAAGAGATGTATATATACAAAATATTTCTCACTAAATTAGGAGAGATTAGTAGTTTACTTCCTTATATACCAATATATTAAAAAATGGCAAGATCTACCATCTTAATCTTAATAGCCTAATAAACTTACTTTTAATGCATATTAAGGGGTTTACTTATATAGGAGATTACTTACTTGGTTCCATATATATGATTATTTTAATGGCAAGATCTACCATCTTTTAATGCACAATTTGGTGACGTGTTTTTTTTAATAATTTAAAAAAATGTAATTTATTTTTCGAATTTTTATTTTACTGTTTAATTAGATGCATTTAATTTAATAAGTTATCCTATATTGAAATTCGTAATGTTTTTTATTTTTCTATTTAATTAATTAAATGCATTTCATTTAATAAGATATCCTATATTGAAATATGGTAGTATTTTTTATGCTTTTTTTTAACATACCATATTAAAATACTTGTTTTAAACCATTTAAGGCTTTGTTTCTTTGAAATAACATATTATTCAAATCACACAATAATTATTCCTAAAACAATACATAATCCATAATATCTAATTAAAACAAAACATAAATAATTCAGATGAAAAAATCCATGTCAACAGTAAAAGCTTCAGCTTATACCTGGTAGTTTGGTACAACTTTTTTATGATCTTTTTACCAATTCATAAAATTATTAATTGAATGCTTGAAATGAAACCAATACTTGAAAAAACCCATATGAATAGCAAAAACTGAAATTATAACATATTACATTATTACCCAGTTATGAGTAAGTATAATCCAAATGTAATAATTCACACCCATAACATATTAAAGGAAATTGAATAGTATTGAGAAGCCTAAGATAATAAAATGCATGAAACAATACGTGAACGAAAGTATAAAAGGCAGTTCTGAATTTCAATAGCAAATAATTATTCAAAATCATGGCTTTTCGATCTTCACGACCTTAAGTTTCTTGTTGCTTGAGCCCTGTGTTTCGCCGTTGACATCACCAGTGACTGCTTCATCCGATTCTCGGCCGCGTCCAATTGATTTTGGAGTTCCTTTCTCATCAGTTTCAGTGTCTGAAATAACCTGCAGTTTTGATAATACCAATGTCATTATTCTTATGTTATTATTATACCAATGTTACTATTCTTATACTATACCAATATAACAAAAAATTGACTTTACGGTCTGATGGAATTGCCATATAAGAAGAATAATATCATCATTCTTAAATGGCTTATTACAGAAACTAATAAGAGTTGTATGTTCTTCTTAAGTTATAAGTTAATTTAATGTTTACTATGAATCTGATTATGCATTTTAGATTTTTGTTTTTCTCTTTGTGTTCTTTCTGTTAAAACTTGCAGGAAGGGATATGTGAGTAAACTAAAGAATCATATTAAAAAATGTGTAAACTAATAAATCTGCTAATGTACAACTACTAAGTTCACTAAAGAACTTCAGCCAATGCCACTACTAAAAGATAGCAAATCTGCAACTACTAAGTTCAGTTTGCATTTCACTTTGCATATATAGTAAACTAATAAATGAGTAAACTAATAAACTAATAAATCTGCAACTATTAAAGAAGAGTGTGGTTTCTAGTGCTTGAGATAATATTCTACAATGTTTTTAGTCTAGACACCCATACTTTAATCAGTCTAGTGCAACAAACTCCAGTACCGAAGTCATCCTCAAATCCTAAAACTAATAAAATAAGGTGTAACTTAGTGCAATTATACTTTTGGATATACACTTGGTTAAGGGCTTAAACAGTTTTCTTATTACATAGATGAACACTTTTCTAAACAGTTTTAAGTGTGGCTGATATTATTGAAATACCACCAACGTAATCTCGTGGAGTTAAGGTATTACCACATTGGAGTCCCCTGTCGGCACAGATTCAAAAAGCAATTCCAAGTCTTCATCAGAATTGTACGCCTGTGGATTATTTTTAAGATTTAAAATGGATAAATATTTAATGAAACAAAGATATATTAAAATGTTTCAGGTATACTACCTCAGAACTCGTTTCTTCACTGCCTGCTGCCATCTTGAACTGTTTTATTTTTTCTTTATCGCTCGATATCATGCCTATTACATAAACCTGTTCACCATAGTTGGAGTTTGTGTTGGCAGACTTGATTTTGAATAGATATTCGCGTCCGATCAATTCAGATATGACTTCAGGGCAGCTGATAGGTCTAAGTGTTGCCTACAAACAGTTAGTTGTTTGGAAATTACATGTTACAGTATATGAATATATATATATATATATATATATTAAACAAATAATTTAAATATGAAGTACATAAGTACCACATCGAGGTGTTCGTAAAAATCTCCTGCAGCCTTTCCAAGTAGTAGCCGGGCCTCCTCATCCCAGAACATTACATCTGCAAAAGTTGTCCCATGTCTGACTTTCATTTTCAAAGTGTATCGCCAAACACCCTCATCTTTACTTCTACCGCACTTGCTGCACACTACATCTTCTTCACGCAGTTTCTTGCAACACTTTGCATCACTACAACCAAAATAAGCCCAATTTCGTGAAGAAAATATTGCATGTATCACGCCATAGAACCAGCATCCTCGGACCTGCTGCATTGAATATAAGCTTTGAGAAGAGGTGTGTGTAATATGATGCGAGCTAAGTTTAGAATATAAGATGTTTCTTCCTTCTCATACAACTTCTTCAAATTTAATAAAAAATATAAAGAAGTTTATACCGTTGAGCATTGCATATATGTTTACAAAATTAAACATTATTGCTGAAACAAATAAACTATTCCTGAGGCATCTATAAGAGAAAAATTAAAAGAAGTTGTTTGACAATTGCAGGTAGTTCTGTATTTCCAATTTGGAAATTGTTATCTGTATTTCTTCCATTGAGAAGAAATTAAAAAATCTCTTCTCAATGCCTCATGGATACTTTATTTGTTTCAGCAAAACCAATTCTAAAACCAAACAGCATAATCATTTTTTTTGTAAACATAGGATATAGTAATATATAGATAAAACAATGACATAACAAATTAATGTGAAACCATATGATTGAGTTGTTGTTGTAGTTGTTTTACCAAATAAAAACAAATCATATATTTTTTTCTTTTTTCTTAAAGAACCTATTTTAAAAAATTCTGTTAAAAAGGCCTTAGAGATACTTTATTTGTTAAAAAGGCCTTAGGGATACTTTATTTGTTAACATAGGATATAGTAGTATATAGATAAAAAAAAATGCCATAACAAATTAATGTCAAACCTAAAACTCAAATTCACCATTAGGAAGGAAATATAGTTTCTGAGATTATGAGTTAAACCTATGATATTAATGTTAAAGCCTTATGTAATATCTATACGTTTAATTTTTAAGTAGTCATTAATGATGAAACCTAATCTAAACATGTAAACAATAGAGAAAAAGCTAATAAGAAAGTCCAGAACATATAGTTGCAGGGAAGTCCATTTCTAACAGTAAACATCTTATTTGAGAGAAAATGAGTAATGCCAAAGCTACTTATTTAATATCTAATAACTGCAGTTTAACATATTACCTCCTTCATAGTGGATAACTCTGAAAGTGATTTGGTAAAGCCGATCTCCTCACCATTAGTAAGAGATGCAGTAGATGATTTAGAAACAAAAGTACTTGATGGTGTTGCTTGATGAACGGCGACCGTATACCTTCAACAAATGATTGAAATACCAAAAAATGTAAGACTTGAATAATATCCATATAAATTAAGCATAACATTATACCGCAGCACTAAGATAAAAAGTGTTCATACCGGCTTCGAAAGTCTTCAATCTCAGGGATGTTCTCATCAATTAGTAACTTTGTAAACTGCCATGCAGACGACACACCCTTCGTACCACCGACTAAATGAAATATACAGTTTCATTAGGGCACTAATTGCATCCTCAAAATGAAATTAGCAAATGTAAGACATTGAAAACATAATTTGCGACTTAGAAGGGATGTAGGAATACCATAACGCGTATTTATCCGACAAAACTGCAGTAGCACAATAATGGGATCATGCCTAGTTGTGTTAATAAAATCCAGAAATTGCGCTGAATACTCATTCCATAGTGTGCATGTTATTTTGGTGTTCCTACATGTTAGTTATGACATTGTTAATATAATAGACCAATAAGAATGTGTGTAGGAATGAATTTATTCTGCATAATCGTATCTTAACTCTAGATTGACCAACGGAAATCGACACCAGGAGCCTTTCCCATCACTTGGTTTGGTTGGTTTTTCATCGGGATTGTATGCACCAATAACATCTAATTTTAATTAAGGGTAATGTTAGAGCATAAAATGATAGAAAAAATGTAATCCTACCAACTTTTAGATATTATTTTAGAAACGTACCAATCAAATCGGGCGCTTCAACATCTGGGGAATGGGTAATATCTGCATAGGCTATGATATTATAAATGCTCTTTGGAAATTCATGATGTTTTTCATTTGTCTGAAGCATGACTTTTGTTTTTTCGGTGAACATCAAACGGAATGGATGGGATGTTGCTCTCCAACCCCCTTGATTCTCCTTGACAGAAAAGTTGAGCATGGCATATAGGTTCCCTTCTTCAATTTGATCTTCAAACTGGGGGATCAAGTGGAGAGGGACCGTTGCTTGAATTTGATCACGCTGTGAGTTGGACTAATAAATTTATTATCCATATAAAGAACAAATAACCAAAAAAGTGCCTTCTGTTTACGATTAAAATGACTTAACTTTAGGCCTAAGGAAAACCTTATGATTAGTTGCTTTTTGTGATTAAAATGACTTAAGTTTAGGCCTTCCAAAAAACTCATGAGAATGTGTGTAGATATGCTGGAGATTTTTCAATCCTAAATATAGTTTATAATTTAAAAGTTCTTTTTTGCAGTTTTTCCCTTTTTGAATACAGGCTTCAACTCCTTAGTGGTAAAGGTACTGGTGTACATGTGTCCCAACACTTTGCTACTTAGACAACAGTCACTATTTTTGTGATTTCCAGGCTGAATCATATACTTAATTTGCAAAAAAAATTCAAACTTCAAATGACACTGTTATTGTTCATAGTGAATGCAGGGATTTTGTATGATCACTGGGGACAGTTGTGAAAAGTTCACTCTCCTTATATGTTAAAGATCCTAAGAATGCCAATGCTTCTCGAAGGAAACTGTGGATTTTATAGCCTTATATGTTCAAGCTCTATCCTAATCAAAGTTTTCTGTCACTAATGTTACAGTTATTGAAAACATTATTTACAGTCTTCCTTATGGGCATCTTTGTCATGTATTTTCCAAAAAACTTATGATTAGTTGCTTTTTGTTTCTTTTAGCACCATTCACCTATAATTTTTATGAAAACTTAAAGATTATGATGAGTTGATTTTTGTATCTTTACCAAAACTTATAATCTGAATGTAGAAATTTGGATTCTTTACTATTTTGCATTAGAAAATGACTAATTTCAGGTTTATGACTACTTCTTTTGGCAATGGAACACAATGGCAGGAATGTACACAATGGGAACACAGATTCACTGAAAAAAGGCAGATAAAATCAAATCAAAAGTAAGAAAAAAATATGGCATTGGGTAGTTCATCACCTTTTCATCCATCAAAACTAATTCACAAACGCGGGAACCCAAGCGCATGTTCTGATCTTTCACAGTCCACTTTCTCCTTACACGAAACAAAAAGGCCGAATTGCGTGGGAGTTGAAGAGTCACATCAGAAAGAAATTTCTGCTCAGGTGCCATTTTTCTGCAATATCATTCAAAGAAGCAAAATTTGAACATATGAAATCATGAATACACTGGAGGTACTTTTAAAGCAAGATTTAAGTGTATATGTACTTTTTCAATTATTTTACTAATGGAAACTTTATAATGAATATGATTGAACCGTAAAAGATTGATCTGCAAAAGATTAAAATCGAAACATGATTGAACTGTAAAAGTTTCATGAATACACTGGAGGTACTTTTAAAGCAAGATTCAAGTGTATATGTACTTTTTCAATTATTTTACTAATGGAAACTTTATAATGAATATGATTGAACCGTAAAAGATTGATCTGCAAAAGATTAAAATCGAAAAATGATTGAACTGTAAAAGTTTCATGACATACTTGTTCAACCTCTGCCTTCAAATGCTAAGATGCTTGAGCACTGATAAGTTTAAAGTGTGTGCGTGTGTGTGTATATATATATATATATATATATATATATATATATATATATATATATATATATATATATATATAATAGAAGAATGTTTGGTTCTGGTGTGTATACATAGACGGAATTTTAATTATGGTTCTCAATCATTCGTGCTGAAATTTAAAAGATACATGTTTCCTTATATGGGCTATTACTGATACTTGTAATTAACTGTCACGATTTTATATACATATATATGCTATCAGATTCTTACCATATACAGTTGGGACTCTTTATTAATATAGAAACGAAAAACTGCCTTTTTTAATTAAACACATTTATTATATGCTATGAGTCTAAAATAGGTCGATTTACTGCATGTATATAGAGAGAGTTGCATGTTTCCTTTTAGAAGTGCAGTTTTCCTTGTAGGGTTTGATTCTAGGTTTGATTCTAGGTGATGAATATACTTACCATTTTCAAGTTTTTATTCTTCAAAAAAAGGTTTCGCATATGATTGAGAGTACTTACCATTTTTAAATATTTCTTTAATAAACAAAACGCTTTTTTATTGTAGAATATACTTACATGTTATTTGAACAGCCTCAAATTTAAGACAAAGAGATGAAGTATGTAGATATTATTATACTTTTTAACAAAGTTCTTTCGTTTTATATATGTATACATATATATATATATATAGAAATTATATATATGTGTGTGTATGTGTGTGTGTGTGTGTGTGTGTATGTGTGTGTGTGTTACTACCTTCATCCCAAAATAATTAGCCAAATCCAAAACTTTGACCAAAACCATTGTAGAACAGCTCAAGTGCCACAGTCCCACTTCCTCATTCATTTCAGTTTGTTGACTCTAAAACACAGAAAATAGTAAAAAAAAAAAAAACAATAGTCAGAAGCTATAATGTATCTACTGCAGATTTTCTAAGTAATGTTAGCTATAATGTTACTACTCTGCCTATTCAGCATGGCCGAAAATTTAACATACTAATCGATAAGTATGCTTTACAACAAACCTTAGCTGAGTAGGGATGTCATTCTAACTTAATTCTCATGAAGAAGCATATGACTTTTAGACTAAACGATATTACACTTTTATTTACTAAACAGACTTCATGGTGACATGGTAACTCTAATTCAACCAATGCTATAGTCTTATCTTCTCATTCTTATAACCAATGGCATAATCAATGGTCAAAAAAAAAGAAAAAAAAACTCATGACACCCATCAACGACCAATGAAGAGTATGGCTGTAACATATATACCAAGTACAACACAAAAGCAAGATTTAAACCGATAAATAAGAACGGAAAGCATAATGAGAACGGAATAAGAGCACAATAAGCACGATGAAAGAGTATCTAGATGACATCTGTATGTTCAAAAGAAAAAAGAAAAAAACTCATGACACTCATCAACGGCCAGTGAAGAGTATGGCTGTAACATATATACTAAGTAAAACACAAAAGCAAGATTAAAACCGATATATAACAACGGAAAGCACAATGAGAACGGAATAAGAGCACAATGAGCACAATGAAAAGGCAAGAAAATGGACCGTCGACTGGGGCAAGAAAGTTATGCTGGGGGCAAGAAAGTTCTGGAAGTGGGGCTCTAAGGGAGAAGAGGGATTCAATAAGGGTTTTAAAGGGTTGGACCGCAATTTTATTGGGAGAAGCGGGGCATTTTAGGTCTGGGCCGCAGATTTATGTAATTGTTCCTAGAGAGAAGCAATCATGTCTCCTGTTACACGGTACCAAAAGGGGTCTAACATCTACCACATTATTGGGATGTGGTCCTTTATTTAATTGGGATGTTTTAGGGTTGCGGTCCATTATTGGGATGCTTTTACGGAGTACGAGTATCATTCAGGACAGTTATAGAATAACATTTGTATCTCACATCTATCACATTAGATCCCTACAAAATTTCAGTTTAATTAATTTAATTTACTAGAAATTGAATTTTAATCCTATCGCATCTATGATTCTTGGATGAAAAATTGTAAATTCATTTTTTCTTTTGAAATGCATTGTCGGAAATGTCTCATTCCTTTTCTGTAAACTAAAAATAATTATATATTCTATTTCCGAATGAGATTAAAATACATATACAAATTTTTAAATCATGAAAAGCCTAGGATAATTACCCATGTCGGGATTCTTAACAATCTCATTTTTACTCATATATATCAACGTAGTATCACGAGTTACTAAGGATGTTTTTTTTGGACTTAAACTCTCTATTTTGGCCCGATCTTATCTTGTCTGTTTAAGTCTAATTTGGTCTGGTCTACTTTGGTAGATGTTTGATCACTGTGTATCTTACAATTGCAGAAGTCTAGTCTGGTTTTTTAAGTCTCGTCCGGTCTAGTCTCCTTAAGTCTACTAGTATCTCACCCGTGCGATGCATGGCCGGAAAATTTTAACTTGATTTTTGAAAACATAAAAAATCCAATGAACACAGATGATATATTAATAATTTATAATTACTGATTATTGAAATTTCACAAAATCAATGAATAAGATGATGTCAGACTTCAGAATTTGTATTAGAGCCAGTTTGATAACCCGTGTTTTTTTGCTCATGGGTTAACGTAATTTTAAATTTTAAGCGGTGAATTGGGAGAAATTATTGTAGAGAATCATTTTAGATATTATTTATATCATCTTTTTCCTTATTTAATTAATTTAATATATTGTATCTTATTTTTAATTATTCAGCAGATTCAGCCGATTTAGTCATTTCATCCGAAATTTCATTAATTTCAATAGATTTAGTCAATTCAACAAATTTCAGCTCACCAAACATCCTCTTAATTAACTACTATATTATGTTTGGGACCCCGTATTCATAACTGGTTTAAGTTTTCTACATATTATCATAGGAAGTGCTAAAGGAAATTAACAAACGGTAGCACTTTTACTTTAGAGCCCATTTGGTAGCTTGAAAATCGGCTGATTTGGCTGATTCTGCTGAAATTTATGAAGTTCTGGCTGAAGTGGCTGCATTGGCTGGTTCTGTTGATTTAAGAAAAAATTTGTAACACCCACCCGCCCGGTCTGGTAAATTCGGGACGGATGTCGCTGTTGTTTATGTTGGAAAAATGTGTGAAAAATTGCATTAAATGGCTATTTTGGGGCAATTTTTTGAGTGGGGTCCACTTCCGACTTGGGTCGGGTCAAAGTGGTTTCGGATTGTCCTTGTTAAGGGCTACAATTCGATATATGGTACGCTCAAAACGGATAACGGGTGAATGAGAAATCGCTTTTCGAAGTTTACCCGTTAGAATGGAAAAACTGGGAAAAAGGATGAGTTTCTAGTGTTAATTTCCCACACCGGAAAACCCAAGGGATTTGCAACCCTTTATAAAGGGACTCCCCCCTTAAGGAGTTAAGATTCCTTAGGGTAGAGGCTCTCTCCACGCGCGCAGGGGGGGGGGGGGGGGGTGCAAATCAAATCCCGAAATCGGAGAAGAAAAACCGCGACTTGCGTGCGCGGGCGACCTGCGGACACGAATGTCGTCCAAAAATCTATCTCTCAAGAGATACGATTAATTTTTGTTTTCTTCCCGAAACGTTTAATTTTTTCCCAGCGGCAGAAGTGCTCGGATCAGAACCCCTCTCGTTGGTATTCTGATGGCAGAACCCCTCATGGGGTATTCTGATGGCCGCCCATCAGAGATGGGGTATTCTGATGGCCGCCCATCAGAGTTGGGGTCTTCTGATTGGCCTCCGATCAGAACCCCTCCCGGGGTGTTCTGATGGAGGTCTTCTGTCGCGCTTCTGATACGTTACAACAATTAATGCCCAACGTTTATATCTTTTAATGCAGCGTTAAATGGACAGTTCATGGACGATTCAATGCCCAACGGACTGGTCATTGATGCCCAACGTTCAGGTCCATTAATTCACTATTTTCACACAACAAATCCTCCTATGGCTGGCAGGTGATTTGCAACAACACAGGTTCTTACACGCATTCTTGCACTCCATACACGTTTTAGCTCTAAAAACACACTGCTAGCACTCTGAAAATTCCTTCTGCGTTCAGTCTTTGTTCTCGTTCGTTAGAACTCTTGTTTGTGTGCTCAAACATTAGTTCGTTGTCATCGTATCCTGGGAAACTATTGTTGCAACGCTCCTAGCACCGTGGGAGGCAACAAACACGTTTTAAGGACATCGTGCGTAGCACGAGCTTTGACAAATTTCTGCTCCATCTCATTTCTGTTTTCTTTTGTCATTTTATTTAATTAATTTCTTTTAATTAATTTTCTTTATTTTCCGAAACACACCCAACAGTTTATCATTTATTTATTAGAAAACATTTAATAAAATGTAATTGTAACCTAGAATGCCACCAGAAAATTCAATTCTCAACTTTAGATGACTGTGCATTGTAATACGGGTATATATTTTGTTTAGCCAGATGTACACCTATAGGATTGCTTGTGTCATGTGTCCAATTGGGTAATATTACATTACATTTTAAGTTTTGTATTTGTTTGGTTTCGTAGATGCAAGAGGATAAGCTGCCAGAGTGCCAGGTGCTTTTCTTTGTTTTAGTCGAAGGCTACAATTTTACTTGTGCTTTTTTTAATCTTTATACATATTTACCTCTTAGATCAATATCATAAATCTTAAAGTTAATTTTACCACAAGTGTTTATTTAAATATATAAAGAGACATACGAACCATAAAACTGAACGGAGTACTAATTAACAAAACCCATATCTAATTTAAGAGTTTTACAATTTCTCTCATATGAATTATTTTCTTTCGGACTTAAAAATTTACCTTGAGTCCAATTCATTTTTATTTATTAAGATATTACCTCTGATACTATCATTTTGATATAGTTTGAAGTACATTGTGGTAAGGTACTCTCAAATCCACTGGTCTTATAGGTTATCATCATTTTCATTTACCCCAGTGCCGCAAAGGTTCCCAACTACGGTGGGGTAAGGGGAATCGGATGTACGCGGTCTTACCCATGTACTAAAGTGTTGGAAAATGTGTTAGTAAATTGCATTAAATGGTCATTTTGGGGCAATTTTTTGAGTGGGGCCCACTTCCGATTTGGGTCGGGTCAAAGTGGTTTCGGATTGTCCTTGCTTAGGGCTACAATTCGATATATGGTACGCTCAAAACGGATAACGGGTGAATGAGAAATTGATTCTTGAAGTTCACTCGTTGGAATGGAGAAAACTAGGAAAATGAAGGGTTTCTAGTGTGGTTTTCCCACACCGGAAAACCCAAGAGATTTTGAACCCTTTATAAAGGGAAACCCCCCTTAAGGAGTTAAGATTCCTTAGGGTAAAGGCTCTCTCCACGCGCGCAGGGGGGGTGCGAATCAAATCCCGAAACCGGAGAACAAAAGGCCCGACTTATGTGCGCAGGCGACCTGCGGATACGAATGTCGTCCAAAAAATCTATCTTCTACAGATAAACGTTAATTTTTGTTCCTCCGGTTGGTTCCTATTTTTCACTCCAGGTTGGAGTGGAGCAGGCCACTACTCCGTGCGAGCAGTTGGCTCCGCAGCAGGCCGCTGCTCCGTGTGAGCAGTTGGCTCCGCAGCAGGCCGCTGCTCCATGCATGTTGAAAGTCCACAGCAGGCGGCTGCTGGGACGTTACAACGCCACAAATGCCCAACGTACCTTTGCAATAAATGGACGGTTTTTGGATGAGAACCAATGCCAACGTGCTGGACATTGATTACCAACGTTCATGTCCATTAAACCTCCATTAACACACAACAAATCTTCCCTATAAGTAGCTGGCAGATGATTTGCAACAAACACAAATTCATACACACTTTCTTCACGTATTTCTGAGCTAAAAAACACCTCTAGCATTCCAGAAAATTTCCTTTGTGTTCAACCTTTGTTCACGTTCGTTGGAACTTTAGTTTGAGTGCTAAAATATTGTTCGAAGTCATCGTATCCTGGGAAACGATCGTTGCAACGCTCCTAGCACCCCGGGAAGCAACGAATACGTTTTAAGGAAATCGTGCGTAGCACGAGCTTTGGCCTATTCTGCTCCATCTCATTTCTTGTTTTTCTTTAAGTCATTTTATTTAATTAATTTTTATTAATTAATTTTCTTTGTTTTTCGAAACACACCCAACAATCTTAAAACGTATTCGTTGATTGTTCTACTACGGTAAACAATCTTAAACCGCCATTACCGCTTGAACCGCCAATACCGCCTGAACCGCCTGAACCGCCATCATCGCTGCCTGAACCGCAGCGGCTGTCACCTGAAATATCGGCTGCATCTAGGAGGCGTGTGACGCTGTAGTTAATCTGCTCAAGCATTTGAATCATCTTCTCCATCGTTGACCTCAGAGTTGACCCCCGAAATGTGCTCCGTTTGGCCCAAAATTTTTACACCATATATATTATGTCTAAGACAATCAATAAATGCTATTTTGGCCATTCAACCACCTCTTATATTTTATATGAATATTTCCAATCATTTCCATGTATATTATTCTAGTTTATTTTTCCATAAACTAGTTCACCTTGATAACTTGCATGATTAAGCACTTTTTATTCCTCACAAGGATATCACCTTTAATTACCTTTAATCACCTCACAAAATGAGCCATTCATGGTTCACAAAATTATTATCTAAGTCATTGATACTAGTTAATCATTTTTGTATATTACTCTAGTTTATTTCTCATAAACTAGTTCATCTTAGTAGCATGTATACTTAAGCATTTCTTAATTCTTCACAACAATAATACGTGAATTACTTTGGTCACTTCTCATATGAGCCAACAAAAACATTTATATTAGTTAATTATACCTTGTATAATTCCCTAGTTTATTTCTCATAAACTAGATTTTACTTTAGTGGCTTGCGTGATTTAATACTTAAATCCTCCACAAGAATACCATCTTGAATTTCCTTAGTCCTTTCCCAAGTAATCATTCATGATTAGTCTTCATCAATAATATTAGTAATTCTTTACCCATTAATCATGCCACTTTCACTTAATTTATAATCAATATGGTTAATCACACATTTAAACACTTTTAATCATTTTTATACATACTCGCATACTAGATTAATCTAGTTAGTCTCATACATAGTTCAAGTATGCATTTTTATACATTTGACAATAATATATCCATGATTAATCCACAAATTAATCTCTTATTCATTAACCATATAATACTTTCATATTTCATATTCATCATAACTAATCATGTATTTTAATCCATTTAATCATTTCTCAAATCATGATTATGAATTTATTTAGGTAATCCCACGTTTGACTCAAAAGTTACAAGACACGTAGTCGTCCACTCACCTTGAAATGACGCTAGCAAGATCTTCTTTGTTCGAACTCCGGCGACTTTTGAATTTTCCGGCAAAAACTCCGGCGGCTCCGGCGACTTTTCCGGCCACTCCTAGATTCCTTGAGAAGTCTAGAATAGTTTGGTAAAATTCCTAACAAGGTTTCACAACCAAAAGTGGACATCAAAACCTTCCGAGAAGGTGTTTTCCGGCAAACCGGTCTTACTCCGGTCATAACTCCGTTTATGGTTAAACTTAACCTTCCAAATCCTCACTCTACGCCTCTAGAAGTGTAGAACAAGATTAAAGGTCCATCATATGATTTATAAGATCATATGATATTAAATTAAGGAAGAAAAATATTAATGAAGTCATTACCTTGATTTTTCTAAGTTTTTCTCTTCTTTTCCAAGCTTTTCTTCACCTTTGAACCTCCTCCAACCTTGAGCTCGGTTATGGCTATGGGGATGATGAGTTGCAGAGCTCCCCTATCTATTTTTTTATGGGTTGGGTCGGATGGAAAGAGTGAGGGAGGTGGATGAGAGTTTCATTGACTTAAATTGTCAATAATGGTGAGGTACATGACCTACCAAGTACTTTTGATTCCATATGTCTCCAATTACTTTCAAAGCACTCCCCCATCACACTCCAGCCCTCCCCTTAGCTGTTTGGTTGAATAAATTCGTGGGGTGGCCCCCACTCATGTGGGAGGTCATCCCTTTATGTCCCAAAGTGTGTATTTGGTCCCGAAAGTTGTATTTTCTGGACTATTTTAATTATATTTTATTTTATCGGGTTAAGTAAAATATATATCATTCTTCCAATTAATATTGGCCTCTAAAATGAATATATATTACCCAACTTCAATTTAGTGGTCGCCGAAATTCATTTCGGGCCGTTATCTGTTTAATTACATATACCGGTAATGGGACCTCGTTTGATCGAAAGGCCAACTTTATGGCTCGACATTTATTTACACCCTCATATAAATATCATCTAGACCAAGATGAATATAATATGTGGGCCGTAAATATCGGATGGTCCCCGCCCATGTGTGGGCCCAACGTGCATTTTATTGTTCAAGTAACAGTAAAAATGAGAACATGTTTCCTCAAAAATTCATTCATCATTTCTCATGACTAAATATGTATTTTCATATTTTGTGACACTTTAATAAAATGTTACACTTATTTTTAAGTGGTCCCAACTGTATAAGCAGATAAAATCTTATATGTTTATTCTTATACGAAAATATCTTCAAGGTAGGATCCTCCAAAAGTACCCACCTCTAATATGTCAAATTACTCATTATTATCCATCATCCCATATTTTGGGTTCTTAAAATATTTATATTCTTTCTGTTATTAATTCGTAGCCTTCCGAATTATTATCAATCCGATAATTAATGATTCACAATTATCGGATAGTGACCCCGGTCCGCTTGGCCGTCTAGTTGTTGTTCTTTATATCAATGGGGTCCATGACCCATCCCTACTATCATAATAGTATCATTTTCGTAGACAATAATATTTTATAAACTTGAAATACCACGAGTGGTCCCACGTCTAAATTAATAACCCTTTATTAATTTAGGACAAAATTTTACTTTCTCATTTATCAAGACTACTCTTAGTCTTGATTTACCTTCTTTAACCAAGTACTTTATGAAAAAAAATTATCTGGGTAAAATTCGGGTTCGGTGTTACACCTCTAGCATTCCAGAAAATTTCCTTTGTGTTCATCCTTTGTTCACGTTCGTTGGAACTTTAGTTTGAGTGCTAAACTATTGTTCGAAGTCATCGTATCCTGGGAAACGATCGTTGCAACGCTCCTAGCACCCCGGGAAGCAACAAATACGTTTTAAGGAAATCGTGCGTAGCACGAGCTTTGGCCTATTCTGCTTCATCTCATTTCTTGTTTTTCTTTAAGTCATTTTATTTAATTATTTTTTATTAATTAATTTTCTTTGTTTTTCGAAACACACCCAACAATCTTAAAACGTATTCGTTGATTGTTCTACTACGGTAAACAATCTTAAACCGCCATCACCGTTTGAACCGCCAACACCGCCTGAACCGCCATCACCGCCTGAACCGCCAGAACCGCCATCACCGCTGCCTGAACCGCAGCGGCTGTCACCTAAAATATCGGCTGCATCTAGGAGGCGTGTGACGTTGTAGTTAATCTGCTCCAGCATTTGAATCATCTTCTCTAACTGCTTTTGATTATCAGCGATCTTGGCCGGAACCAGTTTTTCAATAAGCCCCTTCAGGGTGTCATCCAGGCCGAATCTATACACTGAGTATATAATCCCTGACATAGATACTCCGGTGCTGGTATGGCCGGTCAAAACACCAATTTTACTCAAGAAATCCCAAAGGGCAGAATTCTGCCTCTCTTTTCAGGAGAAAGGTGACTATAACCTTTGTAGATGGGTGGAGGTGGATCTCAGCAATGCTTTTGGGAACAGAATCATTATTAACGATTTTGAATTCTTTGACATGGTGCTGCAGGGAGTTCAACAACCTGAAGTCAGAGGCTGCACTATATCTAGATGACATCTGTATGTTCAAAAAAAAAAGAAAAAAACTCATGACACTCATCAACGGCCAGTGAAGAGTATGGCTGTAACATATATACCAAGTACAACACAAAAGCAAGATTTAAACCGATAAATAAGAACGGAAAGCACAATGAGAACGGAATAAGAGCACAATAAGCATGATGAAAGAGTATCTAGATGACATCTGTATGTTCAAAAAAAACTCATGACACTCATCAACGGCCAGTGAAGAGTATGGCTGTAACATATATACTAAGTAAAACACAAAAGCAAGATTAAAACCGATATATAAGAACGGAAAGCATAATGAGAACGGAATAAGAGCACAATAAGCACGATGAAAGAGTATCTAAATGACATCTGTATGTTCAAAAAAAAGAAAAAAAACTCATGACACTCATCAACGGCGAGTGAAACATATGGGTGTAACATATATACTAAGCTAAGTACAACACAAAAGCAAGATTTAAACCGATAAATAAGAACGGAAAGCACAATGAGAACGGAATAAGAGCACAATAAGCACAATGAAAAGCTAAGAAAACGGACCGTCGACTGGGGCAAGAAAGTTCTGCTGGGGGCAAGAAAGTTCTGGAAGTGGGGCTCTAGGGGAGAAGAGGGATTCAATAAGGGTTTTAAAGGGTTGGACCACAGTTTTATTGGGAGAAGCGGGGCATTTTAGGTCTGGGCCGCAGATTTATGTAATTGTTCCTAGAGAGAAGCAATTCATATGAATTATTTTCTTTCGGACTTTAAAATTTACCTTGAGTCCAATTCATTTTTATTTATTAAGATGTTAGCTCTGATACTATCATTTTGATATAGTTTGAAGTACATTGTGGTAAGGTACTCTCAAATCCACTGGTCTTATAGGTTATCATCATTTTCATTTACCCCAGTGCCGCAAAGGTTCCCAACTACGGTGGGGTAAGGGGAATCGGATGTACGCAGTCTTACCCCTATACTAAAGTATTGGAAAATGTGTTAGTAAATTGCATTAAATGATCATTTTGGGGCAATTTTTTGAGTGGGGTCCACTTCCGATTTGGGTCGGGTCAAAGTGGTTTCGGATTGCCCTTGCTTAGGGCTACAATTCGATATATGGTACGCTCAAAACGGATATCGGGTGAATGAGAAATTGATTCTTGAAGTTCACTCATTGGAATGGAGAAAACTAGGAAAATGATGGGTTTCTAGTGTGGTTTTCCCACACCGGAAAACCCAAGGCAATTTGAACCCTTTATAAAGGGAAACCCCCCTTAAGGAGTTAAGATTCCCTAGGGTAAAGGCTCTCGCCACGCGCGCAGGGGGGGTGCGAATCAAATCCTGAAACCAGAGAACAAAACGTCCGACTTGTGTGCGCGGGCGACCTGCGAACACGAATGTCGTCCGAAAAATCTATCTTCTACAGATAAACGTTAATTTCTGTTCCTCCGGTTGGTTCCTATTTTTTGCTCCAGGTTGGAGTGGAGCAGGCCACTGCTCCGTGCGAGCAGTTGGCTCCGCAGTGGGCCGCTGCTCCATGCATGTTGAAAGTCCACAGCAGGCGGCTGCTGGGACGTTACAACGCCATAAATTCCCAACGTACCTTTGTGATAAATGGATGGTATTTGGACGAGAATCAATGCCAACATGCTGGACATTGATTATTAACGTTCATGTTCATTAAACCTCCATTAACACACAACAAATCTTCCCTATAAGTAGCTGGCAGGTGATTTGCAACAAACACAAGTTCATACACACTTCATTCACGTATTTCTGAGCTAAAAACACCTCTAGCATTCCAGAAAATTGCCTTTGTGTTCAGCCTTTGTTCACGTTCGTTGGAACTTTAGTTTGAGTGCTAAACTATTGTTCGAAGTCATCGTATCCTGGGAAACGATCGTTGCAACGCTCCTAGCACCCCGGGATGCAACGAATACGTTTTAAGGAAATCGTGCGTAGCACGAGCTTTGGCTTATTGGAGCTTTTTATCGAGTTCAGGGTGCTAGTTGGAGCTTTTTTGGGTTCAGGAGGCAAATTGAGCAATCTGAAAAGGTACAAGGACCTATTTGATCCTTTAGCCTTTTTTTCTTCCAAACAATTAGAAAGTCTCTAGACTTGAAACATCAATTTCATCACTTATAATCCGTCTGATCATGAGCTCATATACGTGAAATAAAATGTCGCATCATCTTATATGATACTTTAACAATGTTCCTTATCACATAATGATTATAAATAATCATACGAGATTGTTTAACATCTAATATGGAACAAATAAATGCATTGTTAATACATCACTTTATATTCCTTACAGCTATGGATTCTAATTTAAATCCAATCATGTAAGTTGTTCTTTGATGTTTATTACTCCCTCCGTTTCTAAAAGAAAGTCACGGTTTGACTTCACGATTATTAAGAAAATAAATTGACTTTACTGTAGAAAACACTGTTAAGACACTGTTTGACACTGTTTGGCACTGTCTGACACTGTTTGGCTCTGTTTGGATGTACATTTCTTTGCCAAATAAGGAAATAAGGGAAGTCTGACTTTGTTTTTGAAACATCCCAAAAAGGAAAGTGTGAGTTTCTTTTAGAAACGGAGGGAGTATTATATTTTAGATCACAATATTGTGATCGTCAAAATAACATTTATATTGTCATGTTTCCAACAACAGAAACATAAAACACGGTATTATTTTGGAACTCTAAAATCTAGGTACTCCTATTTAAGCTACTTTCATGGTGATTTAGGGTGCAATCTTCTATTATACAACAGCAGGAGAAAATCTGCCCAAAAATCCCGCCTAAAAACATCACATCAGATGTTCGGGTCGGGTCTCCAGTTTGGCAGGCCGGGTCTCAGAGGCTTGCTCAATTTTTTTAATGTTGTCCGATTTGAAATTCAAATGCTTGGCCAGTTGGAAAGCATTGCACAGCTGGTTTGGCCTGTGATACCTTTGCATTTAATGTTTGCCCATTCTCCAATGATGCTTTTTGAGAGGCTCAATAAAAAGATAACCAAAGGCAGGCTGCACGAATCACAATGCTGGATATTTTATAATTCTCTAATATTAAAACTGGGTCAGCCGCATCTCGCATTAAATGGGATGTACTAGAAAATCTTTTAATGTCATTTCAATATCTCCAAGCATGAATTAAAAAAAAAGAATAATGAAAATCTTCGAATGAGTAGCATGAACGAATTTTTTATTATTTTTAAAGTGTACTACAAAATCTTTAGTAAAGATTTCGTTCTATTGACCAATGGTTAAAAACTAATTTGTTTAAGAGGCCACAACATTCTGTCCCTATAAATACACTCCAAATGGGTTGCAAAACACACCACCATCAAGCATTTCACAAGCAATTCATATTCCTTTTCTTTCAATGGCATGTTCATCTGCCCAAACAGGGATGTGGTCTTTGATATAAGACATTGACCACACAAAATCCACCTGGGCCTTAAGGGTCAGAGTTGTGAGAATATATGAAGTGCCACTACATTCTAAGGTTGGAGAAACACTTGATATGGTGCTTCACGATGCTGAGGTAATATTGTGAGCTTATGTGTTCATAAAAGTGCATGCTCATAAAATGTTATTAACACACGTATCCACGCTACCATAAAAAGGCCGCAACTGCCAATGAACAGACCATTGATCAAAGACATCAAGCCTATGCACTTAGGAACTTTTTGGTCCTGGACAACTACCAGACCGAGAAATGTTAAATGATGTTTACTTTAGTATGCAATGATTGAAATGTAAAGCAATGTCGAAGGTGAATGCATGATGCATATGCTCTTTCTGTGGAAATAAACCTAAAGCATGGTCTGATGCTTAAAAACTGTATGGGAGTAAACTCTTTCAAAGAACAAATTTAGATGACATGAATTTAGCTAATCCGGGGATACTTATTTTTTGGCCAACAGACCGCCAGACCACGCAGTTCCGAAGGACACTTTGGTGGCTGGCAGGGTATCTGGCAGTCCTATGGGATGGGCCATAAGAACAAGCAACCTCCATGATCAAGCTGAATGAAAAATTATTGAAATGAAAGCAAAAAAAATGAATAAAACATGTTTTAAAGAAAGTTAGTTCACATATTAACATAAAAATATTTAGAAAAAATGATACAAGTGTTCAAGCTTTCTAGCAGTTCTAAGTTCACAAAATTTCATTTTGATATTAATAACAGCTCTTCAATGAAGAGGATCACCAAAAGCATAACAATCTACCGTAGAAGAAGTCTTGAAGACTCGATCAACAAAGGTAGTCATGACCTGATTAATAATTTAAAAGAAGGTTTTTAATAGATAACCATGTATGTAGTTATGACCGGTTTATCAAGGCATGACCTGATTAATACTTTCAAAGTGCATACATGACTGAATACAAGTGCAGGTTTAAAAAAAACAAGAAGTGAATATGTTTTCCTAGAATGTAACTCAAACCGAACAAATTTCAGACAAGTTATAAAAGTGTTTTCCGAACTTGCATAATAATTAACAGAAAACGGAAACAATTTTTTGATTAACAAAATAAAGAAAAAAAATTGAAACACTCTTTCCAAGCTGAACAGATTTCAGATTTTAGATTTCAGCTGTTTAAATATTACTCAGAATGAAAAGATGTATTTGACCAAATGAGCGCACAAGTGAACAAATAGTTCTTTTTCACCAAAATCAGAATCTGTTAAGCAAAGTCACGTACACATGAAAAACAGTAAACAATATAAAATATGTAATATCAGAACGACCAAAGGAAATGACGAACTTGAGATCCTTTCATGATGATCACTTAGATTTCATGAAAAAGGGCTTTCAAAAGGCATTATGTAATATTAAAACACTTAAAGAAAATGACGAATCTGAGATCCTTTTGTCGTGATCACTCAGATTTCGTGAAAAATAGGGCTTTGAAAAATAAATAGCAGATCTACGAAAATCAGAACATTTTCTTTTGAAATCATATAGATCTATTTAAAAATTTGAATCTGTCAACCGAAGTCACATAGAAGCGAATAAACGTAAACAATAACGACTACTGAGATCATTGAGTATCACTCAGTGTTAGTTACAAATTTAATGACAAAAGAACATATTGAAGAAGGAATACCGATACGTAGAAACATGCCCTGAGAAGCTAAGAATGCAGCTCAAACAAACAAGGTAGCATCGGCCAAATACCGATATGGTTGGAGGTCTGTAAGGTCTTTGCTGAGCGTCGGTTATTCTCATGTAAGGCTGGATGAAGAAAAGAAACGGAAGGGCGGTGAGAAGCGTGCGTGATACGCAGGTTTAGGTTTAGAGAGAGAAGATGACAATGTTCTGCGAATGAAGCCACGGGGTAAATGCTTTACACAGGGAGTAATGGGAGGTTATATTGGTGGGATTAGGTTTTAAGTTTGGGTTGGGTTTGGTTGCTAATGGGCCGAGATTAGGATAGGTTCGGGCTAACCGGTTATATTTCTAATAGGCTGGGTTTGTGATTTATTTTTTAAAAACAAATTAGGATAGATTATGCATTGTTATTTTTTTAAGTCTCATATTATTATATTAATTATATGCTTATAAATTAGATAAGAAAAATAATATTCTTTTAAATAATATCTAGATAGAATCTATGAATTTTATTATTGTTATTATAATTATTATTATAATTATGATTATATAATTATATAAATACATTTTCATTTAAATTAGTATGACTATTTAGGGTGATTATTAGCATAAAAACATTGCAACAATATCTTTGAAATATTGGTCAAATTAAATTCATGAATAAAAATGTAAGTTATGTTCCAACGAGGGTAACGTATTGACAAGTAAAAGTGAAATCTACTAGATACGTGAAATTCGATTTTTATAGGAGGTCGCATTTGTTTTCACCTTATTTATCTTATTGATAGTTATGTCACTGAGAAGAAATTTAATATGTCTTGATAAAAATATAAATATTTTATTCAAATATTGATTAATGTATGTTGAACAGAAAATTGTGATCCAAATCATACGGAACATATATGTATTGCGACATGATATTAATCAAATAGGCTGTTCTCACATCTCAGCACGCCCGACGAATCTGTTGTCTGCTAAAAAAAGGGTAATTAATGTATCCATATTATTTAATATTACGTATATTCTTTATATATTTATATATTATTTGTTATAAATAAGTTGACTATTATGAATTCATAGGCCTTTTGTATCGCAAATTTGAAATGCAGTTCCTCAGCTGCCATTTAATGGTTTTGAGAGAGAGGGATCGAGCAATGTGCTACTACAGTACAAATATTAAATGTGTCTTCCCTTTCACATGAAAAATCGGTTCACGCATGGTCAACTGTATGTTGTAGTGTTAAAGGTAACAAATCATAGAGGTTTGAAGATATTGATCTGCGGTGAAGATGAGCAGTCAACTGACCATATCACCAATGTAGTTTATAAGGAAGTGTTTCGCAATGTGTAGATTGGGAAACCCTATATAGCATTTACTTTTATCTACTTATTCTAAAACATACTTACTACCTATCTCTGAGTTTTCACTATCCGGTCTTTAATTATAATTTTTTGTGCATGTCACGTCTATCGGTCTATAACAATTTTCATACATTTAACACGACCAAGTAATTTTTACAAATAATGTAGTATCGCCGTTACATTTTAATATCCCGCGCATCGCGCGAGTGAGAATCTAGTTTACTAAAAAAATGTACTAGTATAAAAGAGTGCTGGAATCGCGGTTTGTACAATTTGAGTACAACTAGCATTCTCGTTGTAATAATTGTACGGGCAGGATAAACAATGATTTGATGATGCCCCAAATGGGATCAACCTTTAAAGCATGTCCCAAGCCGATGTTAGTTACAGACTTACAGGTTTGTTGTCTTCTTTTATTATTCGCTATACATAGTGTTAATTAATTAATAAGAGGGCATTGCTTTCCCCCTCCAGCTTTCCTATTTTCTACCGTATTTTAATCGCAGCTAAATTGAATTGCTGACACCCTTTTTTGGCATGATGAAGGTATGACTAAGTTTTTGCTGGAAAGATGATGCCTTTGTTGTTGTCCCTTCGTGAATTTGATTGTTTGCTTATATTATTACTTATTATTATTATTACTTACGATCTTTAATTTTGTTTGTGATTTGAGTTTTGACTTGCGGGCCTTCAAGAACCCAGAAATTTGATCCCTGGCTTTACTGAAATTCATACAAAATTGAATCATATTATGTGCTTCGCATGTGCTATAATCCTTGTTTGGGTGAATTTGGTGACCACAAAAGATAATCTCTTATAAATACATTGTTTCTAGGAAACTCACCCATGGGAAAACCAAGTTATGGGAAGCATTACATCAACCTCTAATTCCTGGAACTTTGATAACCCCAGGGAATTCATCACTCATATTTTTCTCAACCGGAATTTTGAATGGACAGGTTTCAGGCTCCAGAACCTTGTAGGTTTGTAGGGAATAGGAACTGAACAGGCACCCATTACAATTCCAGACCGAACCGGTACTCGGCACCAGTTGCAGTTCCTCCAAAATAGGGCTATACTCGATCACTTCCGATTTGTGTAAAGTTATAAAGAAGCAAACCAGTTACAGATTTTAAAACGGGCCCAAAACCTCAACTGGACCAAAACTGATCTGGAACCCGAACCCGAACTGCTTTACCAAGTTAAGTATCCAGTTCCACCCTTACGTGGAATTGGCTGGTCCAGAATCAAAATGGTGCCTGGCCTGGGTCCACCCCATTGGGAATTAGCTCCCTGTCAAGTGTCAAGTGTCAAGTATCCGTTTTACAAAAAAAAAGATAGGTTTTATTTTTTGTTGAATTATGGATTTGGCTGTGTCTCTCACATAAATGCATAACTATTCCATGCTATGAAAGAGTAGATTCTGCATTAGTGTTTGTGAAGCAAAAGTAGAGAAAGCTCATAAGACCAGAAATCAGAAACATCAGTTTGTGAAGGAAAGTACTTTAATTTTTTGTTCTTCACTGGGTAATGTTAATACTTCATAAACTACTCAATTCGCCTGAATTTTATGCTTATGTTTTTGGTTTTCTTTTATTGATCCATCCAAAAATAGTCATCCTGTTTCCTCTAGTACGTTCGTGAACCTTTTAGGGTGTTCCAGAATGTTCCTAACTTTTCTTGGGATGATCTGGCATGCTCCAGACACAAATGAGGGACTGAAAACAAATAAACTTCCTATTTATTGATCCGTGTTGATTTTTGACATGCACAATATTGTATATTTGTATATGTGTATTGTGAGTATGTTGGTACTCGAGATATGCTTGGTAAGAGCGAGTTTAATATGAATTCATCTCCTTATTGTTGATGCCTTTAGTTTGAAGGGCATGTGCATTGTTATGAATTGTGAAGTAATAATATATATACCATTTATTATGACAGTTGTGGCTCTTTTGGATACCTTATCAATTTGAAATCTTCAAACTGTGTAACTTCTGGAGTTGGCTCTGAGTACAGTGAAAAGATCAAGAAAAGTTTCACCTCCTTCACATCCCTCGACTTGAGCTGGTTCACTCAAATCGATGAAGTAAAGTGTATTCCTATTTCTTTGGGACATAATCATTCCAAAGCCAGACTTCATTTCCAAAATTGTGTACATGTGATAGGTGACGTGTATGGACATTCTCTTGCTCTTTGTGGATTTCAGTCACCTACCTCAACTAACTTTTCCTACAAGATAATCACCATAAAGATCTGATCTTTACGGCCTTTACATGATTAAAAATGGAAATGCTTCCTGATGATTGCTTAAGGCTTATATTTCGATGCCTGGATTGTGGCTTTGACCGTGAATCCTTTGGTTTAACCTGCCACCGTTGGCTACAAATTCAAAATTCATCCCGAAGATCCTTACAGTTTCACTGTTCTCTCAATCTGCTAAATTTCTCCTCTCCAGAAATATCTCAATCAAGTATAAATGCCTCCCTTTTGTTTAAGTTGCTAAATCGTTTTCAAAACCTCCAATCATTATGTATGTCCGGGTGTACCGATCTGCCTGACTCGGCTTTGACTCTGTTGAATCAATATGGCTCAAGGTTGAAAAGTCTGAACTTAGATTGCTGTTTTGAAATCACTTCTAATGGACTCTCCTTTGTCGCCTCAGGCTGTTCTTCTTCTTTGACTATTCTCAGTCTTTACCGTTGCAATATAACGGATATAGGGCTGGAAATGTTGTCTAAGTCTTGCGTTTCTTTGGAAGATATAAATCTTGTGTATTGTTACCGAATAACAGACAGAGGGGTGGAACCTATTTCGCAAAACTGTCGTCACCTTCGTGCTATCAGGATATCCAACTGTAAGAGCATTACTGGTATTGGATTTCAAGGGTGTCCCCGTACACTAGCATATGTGGAGGCAGATTCGTGTAGGCTTGAACCCGAAGGTGTTAGGGCCCTACTTGGTGGGGGAGGGGTCGAGTATCTGAGTGTGCTGAACTTGAGCTGGAACATTCACGGGGATGGTTTGACTGCAATAGGGACCGGATTCGCTTCAAGGCTGAGAGTACTCAACTTTCGTTTCTGCAGAACGATAGGTGATGCTACAATCACAATGATCGCTAAGGGTTGTCCATTACTTCAAGAATGGAATCTGTCCTTGTGTCACGAGGTCAGGGTTTTGGGATGGAGGGCCGTTGGGTCAAACTGTCATCGGCTGAAGACACTGCATGTAAACCGGTGCCGTAATTTGTGCGATGAGGGTTTGCGTGCCATTGGGAACGGCTGCAAGAGGTTGTCGATGTTGTACATCACCCGTTGTGCCCTGTTGAGTTCCAAAGCCATAGAGATCTTTAAGGTTTCAAGAGGTGGTGTGGAGATAAGTGAAGATGAGATTGCATGTATTGCACCAAAAGAAGCATTCAGGTTTTAGTTGGGGAAATAGATTACTCACTACATCAGTGTTAATGCAGTTAGCTTGTGTTTTATTTGTTGGAACATAATTGAACATTCTCATGGAACACATTATATTCTGTCATAAAATAATTATTGTTATTATTATAATATGATTATTGTTATTACTATTTTATTTTTATTATTAATGTTAGAATATGACTAGTCAACCACTTTGTATGTGCGATTGGGTTTCAGTTCCATGCGGAAAAATGACCTCCTTTTCAGTTGAAAGGTTATATGTAATATTAGAAGACCAAAAACACAATGAACACAGAAAAACAACAGCGTGACGCCTAAACTGCTGGAAGCCTAAACAACAGCTTCACACACACACACACAAAAGTGAATGTAAACTCTGTGATGTTAGTCTGGATAGAGTCTAAACAAGATTTATTAACAAACACTTGTGTGTAAAATAATTCCGTGCATAGTGGCAGGCTTGATCCAGACTATATATCCAGGCTTTATCTAAGCAAGGTAAGTGTTCCTTCCGCATATACTGCCCAACATAAGGAGTTTCACACAATCTCATCTAAATTCCTTCTTACAGCATTTGATAGACCTCAACACCTTAGTTGCCTCTTAAAGCTTTTGATAGAACCCAAAACCTTAGTTGTGTTTCTTTTAAAACCCAACCATAGGCAAATATCCTTTAATCAGCCTGACAATATTCAAAAACGTACTACTGCATATTTTTCTTTGTGAACAACCCGCCCCTTATCCCTGCCTCCTGCTGGCTCCAACAACAATTGCCACCATCAGCCATCAAAAACCGTAAACCGCTAGAAAAGTCATTGGAAAATTTCACCAGATTTTTTCAGTTTTTTTAACTCTCCCTGGAAAAAGACAACATATACAATGACATATTTCACAATGCTAGTGGCGCATGTAGTGGCAATAGTGTCACTGGTGACAACAATGACATTAGGGATGGACTCGGGCCGGGCCAACCGGCCCGGAACCGGACCGGCCCGCTATTGTGCGGGCCTGGACCGGCCCGGTGGTAAAGCGGTCTGGGCCCGGGCCTCCAGTTTAGTGAACCGACCCGGCCGGGACGGGCCCGGTTCGGGCCGGAATTTAATTATTTTTTTTTGGGAATTTTTTTTAAGTTTTGGGTTGGATTAGGTATCGCGGGGGTGGAGAGGGAGGGGTAGGGAGTTAAATAAGAGAAGAAGAAAAAAATTAAAAATCCGGGTGGCCCGGCCCGGCCCGGTCTGGCCCGGAACCGGACCCGGAACCGCCCACCACCGGTTCGGGCTCGGGCCTCATTTTTCTGAACCGAGGCCCGGCCGGGCCCAGGCCCGAACCGGAACCGGTCCACCCCTAAATGACATTAGACAAACTATCAAGGACATATTAAACTGGCACTGAATGAAATTGACTTTCCGATTATTACTCTGTACCTTTTAGTCACATTTTTATCTATATATAAAAGTAGTTATTTTTTGGTAATCAACTTCAACAACAGTGGGAAGTGATATTTAAAGAAAAACTCCAATAAAATACTACTAATCATAATTTTAACTTGTAGCTTCATAATTCACCCATGAAATTCTCGTGAAGAGACATTTCAAGTTTAATCACAACCTAAGTGTCCACAAGCATCTCAATATCATGCCACAAAAAACAAGAAACTCAAAGGTGGTGACACGTAAACCTCTATGATAAATTATACAGTAAAATATGACACAACAAATACACAGTATTGATCTGTAATAATAAATTTGTAAATTGAATTATCAGGTATTTGTAACACCAAACAGATCCATGATTCAAGCTATTGGTAACGGAACCAACTACAGTATGGAAGTTCCACTCTGTGCAGAAAGCGACAACGCCTTGTTTGTCTGTGGTCATCTCGTGAAGGTGTAAACAGAAGTGTTGGGTCCATGCGAAGTCACCAGTCAACTGTTTCAGTTCCCACCCCATACGCTGTCCCATGCTCCACTGGGGCCAGGAGCCTTTGGGCCCTCGATGAAATTTTGACCCCCGCGAGGATTTTGTGGGCCAGGGAGCCCTTCGGCACCGGGGTGTTGAGCTTTCTTGGGCTTTGCTTTCACTCCTAATAATCTCAGCACAAACCCTGCAAGCTCCCCATACAATACCCCAGATCGATCAAACAACTGCAAAATACCACCCACAATTCATGATGCCATTGGTATTTCAATCGATTGAATCACACTTGAAAAATATACAAACTCAACAGAACAGTCATTTTTAGTCCTCTCACTATATGTGTCAATGACACTTTTCGTATTCATCTTTGAATTTTCCCTTTAATCCTTCGAGACTATCGTGGCACATACACTTTTGGTACTCGTCTTTATATTTTTCCATTGTGAAGTGGAGAACCAAGAGTGTCACTTTCAAATAGTAGGATGATTAAAAGTGGAAAGTTTAAGGATGTACAAGAGTATGTCACATTAGTCGACAAGTGGAAAAATTAAAAGACTAGTAACAGAAGTGTCATGTACACAATATTGAGGACTTGAAGTGTCAAAAACTCCATCTAGTTATCTCCACATCTATTAATGGTTTTTATCTCTTTCGAGTTTCGATTGAAAACAATGTACTCGGCATTGAAGTATATCATTATATACATTACTCACTCAACTCATCACATGAAAACTAATAAAAAAAATTGGTTGACTTTTTAATGAATCACAAATACATTAATGGACTATTAGCAATCTATCCAATATAATAAGAATAAATAAATTACCCCCGAAAAGGTACAATTTGGAATTCACAAACTGTGGAATGGAGGGGAAAAAGTGGGTATAGAAACAGATACCTGAAGTAGTGCAGTCATAAACAGGTGGAATGCCTGGGTATTCTGGTCAATCAACATTGCAATCCGCCCAAAGAAAGTAACCACGCCTTGCATCTGCAATGTTTTCAAATATATATATTTAAATATAATGTTTAAATTGTCTAGACAATAGACATAAAGTATGGTCTAAGAAGCAAGAAATGGACAAAAGCGAAAGATGAAGAAAAACCGAAGCAAATCTGGGAAATCTGACTAAGTAGGAAGAGTTGCTTTTTTACATAAAATTTATGCAATAGCTAGTCAACAAGAAATGGGTAAATTCATAAACCATTTGTAAATCACAAAGAGAAACGAAAAAAATGATTCCATCTCGCACTGTTTGAACGTACCACTCGCATCAAGGAAACCCAGAAGTTTGGTGGAGATGAAGGTACCCCAAATGGATTGTTTGGATCTTGCTCTCCATATGGCGCACCTACTCCATAACCACCCATTGGGCCTCCAACACCACTGTTGTACATCCCCCCATTATACATGCCACCTCCATATAACCCACCATAACCTCCTCTATACATGTTGTTCCCATACAATCCACCACTACCGCCACCATACATGCTTGACCCATATCCACCATATGAGCCACCATACGTTCCTGATCCATAACCGGAATTGTAGTTCAAGCCAGAGCCATAACCTGTGTGTGAGACAACAAGACACTACCTATAAGGAACATAAAAAAGATCTATGCTAGGCCATTACACTAAAGGCTTTTGTAATAAAAAATGCTTCGCTGATAATAAATGATAGGGACTCAGACAATAGGAGTAATAATAGAATAATATTAAATATTTTGTTAGTGTATAAGTAAGGGTTCCGGTCATGTAATTCCTGATCTTGGGCCGGCTCTTAAGGATAGGAATAATATAAAAGGGGGAAGGAGAGAAGAATAATGGTAGGCAGAGAGTCTGAATCCATCATCCCTATCATTGGTACCCTATCATTGGTATCAGAGCACTCAATCCTAGAGGCAGAGAGTCTGAATCGATCATCCCAGAGCATCAACGAGCTGGAGTGATGAAGGAATTCTATGTATCGCGAATGGAGAAGAGTATGGATAATATTGAATGCCATTTGAAGGAGGTGAGAACTATGCTTGACGAGAGGCTGGACGGAATGTGCCACTGTGTGTCAACACCGTCGCCGGCGACCTAGAGGCTGATCAAGGAACCCAAGACATCATCGGCAATCTGAAAAACAAGGCTCGTCACAGTCATAATCAGCTTCACTGTGAGCAAAGTTCCCCAGTTTGCAGGCTTGGTCATCAACTTCTCCCAGTTCACAAGCCTCGTCGCAAGCAGATTTCCCCACTTCACAGGCTCCGTCATGAGATGATTCTCTCAGATCGCATCAAAGTACGGCGCCATCGAGAGTAGAATCTCTGAGTTTGCAGACGACAGCCAACAAACGTGAGATATCCAGGAAGAAAGGACATAGACGAGCCGGGATAGAGAAAGAGATGCCGCTATTCAATGGCGAGGACGCCTATGGTGGATCTTCGGATCCAAGGCCTTTGTCGGCTGGTGTTTCCGGTGGCCCTAGCGAAAAGGAGAAAACACATATAAGTTCAATACTGAAAATATCAGTCAAGGAGTTACAGATGATGATAGTGCAGCAAATATGAAGACGGATGACATTATGGTTCCCAAAATGTACTGGCATCTTACTCGTAAAGAGGTTCTTAAAATGGAAGGGGTTGATAGAATAAAAATTACAGATGAAGGTTCTCTAGAATTAAGTGAAAGTGATGCTGAATGTAATATTCAGTGGGTCCCTGCTCCTGAATCAGCAGAAGCTGAAAATAGTGAGGTTCTATTGACGATCTGCCGTGTTGCTGTTGCACCAAAGAGGAAGTTAGCTGGACATCTTACTGTCATGAAGAAATTATTGACTTCTCAGGTAAATCTTTAGTGGAAGGTACCGGAGGATCATTTGTATTTATTTATTTAAAAAACTTTGACTCTTCAGGTAGGCTGAACAGGAAGGTGGATGCCAGAGACAGAAGCTATTTAAGTGGCATGACAGTGTGGAAATATATCTCAAAAGAACCCCAGCAACATCAAACGGCATAAAAGATGGATCATATCCAGGGTAAAGGCTGTCCAGTGGACCAGATTTATGCTTAGAAACACAGCAATTGAGATATTCTTCAACGACTCTACTGCTACAGTGTTTTTTAATATTGCAACACAAAAGGATGCAAGGGATGTTGGCAGCTGGATCATTACAAACAGAAACGAATAAATGTCTCCAAAAGGATACAGGGAGTCAGGGACAAGACTAGCATTATTCCTTCTGTTGATCGACATGTTGCGTTGGAAGTGGCTGAAATCTGTAAGGAAAGTTGGAGGAGAAGAGAGAATACAAACTCTGAGCACTTCATGATTCTTCACACACTTGCCGGAAGATCTTATAATGAGTTGACTCAATATCCTGTGTTTCCTTGGGTTCTGGCTGATAATTCATCAGAACATATCAACATACAAGGGTTGTCATTGAACAGAGTGTTGTTCCTAAGTTTATACAGCTTTGTAATTCACCCAATGATGCTGTTCATGAGCAGGCTGACTGACCTTTGGGAAATGTTGCTGGTGATGCTCCAACCTGTAGGGATATGGTTATTGGTCATGGTGCACTCCTATCATTGCGAGGTCAGTTAAATGAGCATTAAAAGCTTTCTATGTCGAGAAGTGCTACATGGACTTTGTCAAACTTCTGGCGACACAAGCCACCAACACGATTTGACCTGGTCAAAGCTGCATTGCCAGTCCTTCAGCCATTACTCCATATGAATGATGAAGAAGTTATGAAAGATGCTTGTTGGGCACTTATGTATCTTTTGGATGGACCAAATGATAAGATTCAAGCAGTAATTGAGGCACGTGCCTGTCCACGGCTGGTAGAGCATCTGCTTCATCCATCAGCTACAATTCTGACACCTGCCCTCATTATAATTAGAAATAGAGATCAAATAAAAGGCTGTTATTGAGGCATCTGTCTTTTTTCCTTTGGTACACCTCCTTCAAAATGCGGAATATGACATCAAGAGGCTGCATGCCTGCATGGGCTATCTCTAATTCCACCTCTGGAGGCTCTCATGATCAAAATAGGTATGTGGCCAGCAAAGGCTGCATTAAGCCACTCTATGATCTCTTGTAATGTCCAGATCCAAGAATTGTTACTGTGTGCCTTGAAGGGCTGTAAAACATTCTGAAGGTAGGTGAGGCGGACAAAGAAAGGGGATTTGAATGGTGGGGTCAATTATATGTGCAGATGGTTGATGAATGTGAAGGAATAGACAAGATTGAGACTCTCCAAACTCATGAAAACAATGAGATATATGAAAAGGCTGTGAAAATCTTCAGAAATACAGGGCTAAGGAAGTGAGAGTGATGAGAGGGATCTGGACAAGGTGGTTGTCAAAGGGGGAGAGTGATGATAGGGATCTGGACAATAAGAGTAATAATAGAATAATATTAAATATTTTATTAGTGTACAAGTGAGGGTTCGGGGCTTCGGGCCATGTAATTGCTGAGCTTGGGCCGGCTCTTATGGATAGCATTATTATAAAAGGGGGAAGGAGGGAAGAATAAAGGTAGGCAGAAATTTAGTTGGAACTGGGCTGGGAGAGTGAGGCCTCTCGAAGAGTCTCAAATCTGTTTCTTCTCTTTCTAATTTATGTATTCGTTGGTTTACTGCTTACGCCATTGTAATATGGTGTAATAGTTTCTATATACCTATTGTTACTACTGTGAGGATCAGTACCCTATCAATAAACAAGCTGATCAAGATAGAGTGCCGATATAAAAAAAAGTGATGACAGTATAATCCTTAGAGATACCAATGACTCTTCATAACTTCCAAACAAAATCAGTTAGGCGGAAAATGAGTTTAAAGGAAATTAAACTAAAGCAATAAAGCATCAACACAGATGACAGTAAAATAATATGAATGGTCTTCGGGAGTTCAAAAACTGGCTCAGATTTCAAGATCTACAGCACTACACATATCTTTCTTTAATCAATTCTAAAACAGTAGCAGACGGTGGGCCTGTTTGGTGATGCCTGAAATAGTTGAAGTAGCAGAATCTACTAAATGATGTCCCTCAAATGGTTCAATTGGCTAAATCTGCTGCATTGACTACAAAGCTTATATGAATTATGTTTCACAAAACTATTAAAGACAATAATAATCCCTTTGCTACTTTTCCCTCTTAGGAAAGAATTGAGGGCTTATAATGATTCTTTCCCTTCTAAATACATCTCAACCAGATAATGAGACCACATAGTTTTATTTTTTTCATTTTCTTAAACGCTGTGTACAGTCAAATGAGGAAGATAAAATAAGTTCAATGATAGTAACAAAAAATGAAGGTCAAAACATTGTCGTGTTTTTAAATTTCAGCCGTTTCAACAAAAAACAACTCATGCCATATTTTTTTGTTTACCAACCAATTCAAACTAAGTTGGTGTTTGGACAAATTCCAAATCCAAGTGAGGAGTTACCCAAACAAGCTCTATATCTTCAAGAAGTAATACTCCAATGAGGTGTTGGCAACACTTTAATGAACTCATGAATATTTGATATGGGATTTAACAATGATGTGTGCCAACAACCTAATACATTGGGTAAATGTATGACTGACTGACTGAGCATATAGATACTAGATGATAGTAATCTTAGTCAATTACCATATTGAAGAAATAAAACTATATAATCTATATAATGTGATCTATGTAATAAATTTTTTTGCTACTAGGTGGGGAAAACTATGCTGAAAAAAAAAAGTTAATACCTCCATAGGTGCTTCCATATGTCTGTTGTTGCTGTTGCTGCTCCCAAGGCCGGTTAGGTACAGGCCGTGCAAGCACATTTGTGTTAGCAGTTGTATTATTCCTGTTAGCTGAATTGACTATTTCTCCTGGATTAGCAGTTCCTGATGTCTCCACAACATCACTTGTGCTTCCCGGAGAGGGAGGTTTAAAAGGTGCAGGACCAGAAGAGGATGCAGCTTTTTCCCATGGTTTGGGTGGAGAGCCACTGCCTGCCACAGAATCAAATGAAAGTTAGCAACAGATTAGATACAAATATTTAACAGGTGGTTCAGTTATCACTTATCAAGAGTCCAAATCAGAGCATATACGAATATACTCCGTATATATTACTTCGTATTTCTTGAGAGAAGAAGAGTATGTGAAGATAAATATTTATTCTTTGAGAGAAGAAGAGTATGTAGAAAGAAGTATGGCTTTGTTAGGATTTTTTTCAAAAGTAGGTAAACTATGGAAGGATCAAGAGATAAGCAGTACGCATTGTAAATCGTAAACTGCACTTATTTTCTCTATGCTTTCACACTTTTCTTTTCTGGCATCCCAGAAAAGATCTTCCCATCTACTTTTAAAAACAGAATTGAGTGGTATCATTATATTTTCTTCATTTGAATGGAAAGGTAATCTAAATAGGATAAACTTTACCTAGCAAACAAAGGAAACACTTTTCCTGTGAATAAACCAGGAAGAAAAAGTTTTTCCTTGTTGATCAAAAGACCCCTAAAAGAACAAAAAATAACATGTTCTTGATAGACATGAATGCTAAGAAGACAGGATGAGAAATGTAAAAATCTCTAACACTATGCAGTAATATATCATTCACAGGGTTGTGACTTGGGATGCCAAACAATTTGATTGTATCCAATGACTTAACACATTGCTGATTAGCTCAAATGATAATTCGGCAGGCTCGGATATCAAACAAATCCCAATATATGCAATTGATCGCAAGACACTAAACCCTTGTTTCCGAATGGAATCGCTAAAAATGATCACAAAATAAAAAACTGATATCTTCTCACTGAGAAAAACTCTCCGTGATTCGCTAGATCAATCCATTCGATTTCTACAGCCTGAAAAATATAAAAACTCCCCAGTTTCTTTTCAGTTTCCTTCATAAATCAATATAATGACCAAACCTAGATGGCTAGATCCATCACATACCCGAATTACAAAATGAAAGAAATCGTACGGACCTATAGTACTTTAATTTCGGGTACCAAAGCAACCAGGAGCGGAAAAAAATACTTATGGATTTTAAGAGAAAAGGGAAACTAGATACAAATCGAATTCTGTAAACCTGATGGCTGCGGATTGTTCTCCATCAAAAAAAAAAAAAACGGCGGCGTGTGGGGTCTCCGGCTATACAACCACCGCAGAAGTACTAGATGGATGTGGGGGTCGCCGTAATCATTTATCGATGATCTTTAGTTCTGTACCTGATACGGAGTATATCAAATAATATGAGTAATACGGAGTAAGGGGTTTTCAAAAAAAATAAGGAGCAAGGGATTCCGGATTTTTTTTGTTATCGTAATAAGAGATTGTTTTTTATAGAAAAAAATAGAGATATTATCCAAAATGAGACTAAAAAAATTTGGAAATTTCAAAATAAGAATTTCATGTTTTTATTCCCAAAATAGGACTAATAACTGTCATGTTTTGGCAGTACCAGACTTCAAACATGGCAGTATTTTCCAAATTTGATTGTAATTAGTCCTATTTTATGAATAAAAACATGACAGTCCTATTTTGGAATTTTCAAACTTTTTTAGTCTCATTTCGGGAACTTTCCCAAAAAAATACTCCCTCTCCCCCTAAAACTTTTCTAACTATTTTTACTCTTCCACTAATTTTATCACTTTTCATTTTAAATAAAGAATTTATGGTCAAGTTAATTCTCTTTTCTTAGTAGAAATCTCAACAAAATGTTTTTACTTTGATAATCCTTGTATCGGTCAAACTTTACCAAATTTTATGAAGATGGTATAAACAACGGAGTTACGGAGTATTAATTTAATCAATGGTTTGTAGTTATAATCAACCAATAATCAACTCAAAAGTTATCTATCTTCTAACAAATGGGCAACATAGGTATCTTCGTGATCATTAAGGCCGTGTACTCTGCCTCATCAACAAACTTAAGAGTCGAAGAATCACTATATCTTTGATGAGACATAAAATAGTTCATACAAAACAGGGCCAAATTTTTCGTTGAACATACGCGCGCTTCAAGATAAATAACGATCATAAACACCACAAAAAAGGCATTGAGACAAACAAACCAAAAATGTAAAAAGTCTAAAGAAGCATAAATAAAGCTAAAATAAAAATATAGAGCAATAAACCGCGTGCCACCAAAATCAAACTCAAAGCACTTCCAAACTCTGGTCACACGATCATTCTATAGCGAGAGTGCAGGAGGTGGACAATCCGACAATGTTACACCCTCTTCCTCCCCCTTGCTCCTTGTCATGCCTTCACTTTTGGCACCTAAAGCATGCCGCGAAACGCCAATCGCCATCTCATTGGCCACCGGTCACACAGCCTTGTTTGGTGATTGTCGATGTCGGGATTGAATCGTGAAGGGATGGAGTAGCCTTGTCCCTAACCGTTTGAGCCCTAATTAGTCACATTTTGGTAAAAACACTGATAGAGTATATGGCCCTGACCCCATGACGCACACATTCGTATAAGAAAATCATCAAGACACCGGCACACCCCTTGGTTTGTCCCCTCAGCCAAACGAGCCCACTCCTACAGAGGAGGCCCAAAAGCTACAGATCAGAGGAATGGAGCAAGAATGTTCATCTCGGCCTTGCATCCTCGGCCAACCCACCTCAGCCAAGACTTCCGCAAGGCAGTTCCCACTTAATACTTAGCACGATAGATTCATGTAATCAGCCCATTCGCGGCCCACTATTGTAATCAAGCCCGGGAGCCCTATCCACAATTCATCTATAAATGCCCTCCTTAGGGATAGTTGTAGAGTGTGAAAAACATTGAACGCAAAGAATTTTCTCTCTTTAGTTCTCACTTCTCTCTAGATCTATAATTTATCAAGCACTTTGTATTAAGACTTTATTGAAAACATGATAAATATAAATTAATCTGGTCAAACTTGACTAATGATAAAGAGTCCAATTCACAACAATAATTCATGGGAAAATCTAATCACATCCACACAATTTCTTATACGACCACTATAATTAATTTCAATAAATAAAATTATTTCAAATATCTAACTTAACTTTCAAAATTATATAACTCTACTACACCCTTCTATGATCCAACTGCGGTGTTAGGTACACTCCTGCAGAGCTCTCGATCTAAGGTCATGTTCCTTTGTAGATCAATAGTAGTTGCTTTGTTAAAGACGTCCTTGCTAGCTATGTACTCCCAGCGCGAACTCAAACCTAAGAAACTCATTGTCGCATGGTTCTTCACCCCCATTAAAGTTGCTGTAATTTTGAAGAACTCGCTGCCACCCAAGCCTAGTTTTGTTTCAATGAAGTCATGCCCCGACAGATGACCCTTGATATATGCCTACTTGTGTATTGGGTTTCAATGTGCTTCGTTAGTGTTTTATACCACCTTGAAGTTCCTCAAAGACGGTCTTTCTCAGCATCTCATGTAGTGAGTGCATGTTAAGTTTCATAGTGGTGCAAACACATATCCATTGGAAATTCATGGCGTATGTTACTGTTGAAAAAGTAATGATTTTCCAAGATTCCTGATACCTTCCTCTCAATTAGGCGCCCCGCCGATGTGAACATATGCGAAGAGGCATGGCAGACCTGCTCATTCCACGACTTTTTTGCCTGCAATGCCCTTAAATGTTGATCCAAATGCTTGATGTCTTCATTTCAGTATTTAAGTGGAAGAGTAAAATAGTTTTTTTTAAGAAATATTTACGTAACTTTAATTTTGTGGTTGTGAATCACGTGATTAAAAGTTGTATGATTGTGAATACAATTCCTCTAAATTCATGCTCTTAAACCTGATTGGATGAAAAATAACTGACCAAACACTAGCGCACTAAAGCAAGACCGAATTAAGGGGTTTGTAGAATTTCAAATTATATATCTTCCAAAAGCTAAACAAACAAAAAAACTTCAAACCCTTCATTTTGAAAGAAGGTGACCTAAATTGATATCACATCATTCGGATAAAGGGTAAAACGATAAAAGGACCATAGACAACCGTCAGCCTTTGAACCAGACTTAAAGTCAATCACCTTCAAAAAACAATATGACTCGTTGATCCTTTAATGGGCATAAATGACTCAACGAAGGTAAAAGCATGCCTCCCATCACTCAAACCTAATGCAAGAGTCTTACAAAAATAAAAGTGACCAACAGAAAAGTAAACAGTTTGATCCTGAAAAATAAAAAGCAAGCAAACAGTAAAATTAAAATGTTGCTTCAAAAAACAATATGACTCGCTGATCCTTTAATGGGCATAAATGAGTCAACGACGGGAAAAGCATGTCTCTCATCACTCAAACCTAATGCAAGAGTCTTACAACAATAAAAGTAACCAACAGAAAAGTAAACAGTTTGATCCAGAAAAATAAAAAGCAAGCAAACAGTAAAATTAAAATGTTGCTTCCAAACCCTAGGCTTTCCTGCACTCCACGGTGGCGGTTCAGGAGGGGGCAGGTCAGCAAGTACTGTAAGTTTTTCTTCCCCTTTGATCTTATTCATCATATTCTCTACCAAGCCTCCTTTGTCGCCTAACACGGTTTATCTTGAATCCAAATCTGTTCCAGCCCCACGTTTCGTCCATGACCTTCTAATCTCAACCATGAACGACATCCTCGAAACTCTCCACCTACTGCCAGGGGTGCACAACCTTTGGACGCCATATAGATGACGCGTCCTGCCGAGGAAGAAAGCCTCACGAATGGCGGATGAAAGCCGCGCAAGAATGTCACACTTCGTCGAAGATGAAAACGGAGAAAACCGCCCTAGAGAGAAGCTCTCAAAATAATTTTAAATTAGAATCATTCAATTATTATTATTATTATTATTATTATTATTATTATTATTATTATTATTATTATTATTATTATTATTATTATTATTATTATTATTATTATTATTATTATTATTATTATTATTATTATTATTATTATTATTATTATTATTATTATTATTATTATTATTATTATTATTATTATTATTATTATTATTATTATTATTATTATTATTATTAAATACTTCAAACTATATTAATGAACACCTTCTCAATTTAGTGACAAGTAGAGAATTATTTCTGGATATATCTTAAAAATTTGGGAAATTGGTCAAAGGGGGGCAAGTTTCAAATAAATGGGAAACTGCTATACTTCACCATCAAAGTGAAGATTGCTCACGACTTTGAACACAAAAACGGAAATATAGTCAAAACGGAGACGGAGATAACCCACGCTGTAACACAAAGTTGAAAACAAAGATGGGAATTGTTAGGAATGTATATCTTTGTGCTCAGTTGACGTCTTTATCTTTGTATTTACCATCAGACCAGACCAATTATGTATTTGGGCGCATAAGCCTTTTGTAATAAGGAAGTCTAACATTCAGATATTATATATGCATATGTAAGCTTACGTAACCCTGAACTTTCTAGGCATCCGTTTTCCCAGAGATTGTGAGAGCACCGTTTCCAGAGCTGAGTATTGAATACACTATATAATAACTTCTCGTTTGTCTTTATCGTATTCAATACCGTCTATAATTATCTTATCTACCCTGTGTTGTGCTATTATTTTTTCTCGATTGCCATGTATACCGAAAGTTTCAATACTTCATACCAGAGTATATATTTCTCATAATCCAACAAATTGAGCTAATTGAGGCGTTTCAATAAGAAATTCATCAATGTTAATATAATTAGGCAATTCAGTCAATGTCAGTGTTACCAAAAATTTCCTAAACAAATTCTCTTGACAATTTATTTATTTTACTCTTATTTTGAAAAATTGAAACATATACTCTATTTTTACAAATTGTGTCTTCATTACTCTTAATCAGCCCTAAAAATTTCCCAGCATCCGGCGACCCGACCCAAGCGAGTATACTCGTAGATTTGCCTCCTGAAGCCTGCAATAGACAGCAGCACAAAATCCGGAAAAGACCGTCTTTATTTTTTGGAGTCAGCTCATTTTCGCATTACCAAAGAAAGGGGAGAATCGGTTTCCTGATTCGGACATATGCCCGTGGATTTTCTCGTCGTCTACTACGCTCTCGGCTCAATTCCTCAGGACGACAAACTCCCGCTCTTCACAGCTGAGATTAGCTCCAAAACCATATAAAGGGAACGGCTGAAGAACTCCGTATTTGAATCTCTCTTTGGTTGGGACTTCATAGATTTTGTTTGTGTTGTTTTTTATTTATTTCAATGGCCGCAAGTGCGAAGGAGTCGCCGGGAAGCGGTAATGATAATAGCAACGGCCAGGATGGGACGGGCACCGCGAATGGTGTCACCACTAACGGCGTATCTGTACCTGAAAGCTCGGTGCTG